TAAAGTTTTTGTGATTTATGCTATGATTATAGGAGGCCACTGACATTTATTGGATGGGGTTCTGGGGATGGGGTGCTGATACTGGAATCCCAGAAATGTGTAGGACAGTTTAGTTCAACTTTCTAATGACCCTTCAAACAAAACACCCATGAAAGTGAAAAATCTATTTAGATTTAAATGAACCTAGAACCAAACTCTGTTTTTATTATAAAGATAAATTTTTGATGGGGGTGGGGGGCGATGTAGAATTTTACTAAGTAATTTCTGCTTATAAGAAGACATGTGCTTTCCTAAAAATCTCTGTGCCATCAAAATCATGCAAGCAAAACTAGAGGGCTTATGATACTGAGAAATTGGGACATAATACTGAGAAATTTCATGGTGACACATAAAGATAGTATCCTAGTAACAGAAGTAGCACAGTGTTGAATGGTTAAGAAATACACAAGTACCACAATAAATAGAGCAATCAATGTGAAAAAGACCCAAAGTTTGCTAGTGGAAGTGGGTGACAGAGAGCAGGAATTAATGAGTCATTGGGAAGCAGTGGCAGGAGGGTGCTCTGAAATGGGCCAGAAAGTCAGATATCATGCAGTATGTGTGTGAACGTGGCTCATAACGCAGGTAGAGAAATTAGGTTGCTGGTAGGTGTTGGTGTGTGCACCTGTATATTCCTGCACACGTGTTCAGTTAAGTGTGGTTTTCTCAGTTCAAAAAAATGTTTCTCACTTAAAAAGTCATCCAATAGAAATGTGGTGTGAGCCACATATGCAACAGTCAATTTTCTTTACCGATATTTAGAAAACATGGGGAATCAATTGTAATAACATTGTATGTAACCTATTACCAATATATCCAAAATGTAATCATTTCAACATATTTTCAGTATGAAAATTACTAATGAGATAGTTGGCATTTCCTTGTGCTATGTCTTCAAAATCTGGCATATCCTTTGTATTTATAGCACATATAAACTTGAAGTAGCATTTAAAGTATAATTTGAAAGAATTTTATGCTGACCTGTGATACTAAATGTATAATATCTGGTAAACCAGATGTGACAATGTGGCTGGGCTTGAGTTGAGCGGGGAAGTATACTATGCTGCATCACTTCACCAATAGGATTCCATAATAATATGACTGGTCAGACACATGCCCTAACACAGTGATCGGCAAACTCATTAGCCAACAGAGCCAAATATCAACAGTACAGCGATTGAAATTTCTTTTGAGAGCCAAATTTTTTAAACTAAAACTTCTTCTAACGCCACTTTTCAAAATAGACTCACCCAGACCATGGTATTTTGTATTTTGTGGAAGAGCCACACTCAAGGGGCCAAAGAGCCGCATGTGGCTCGCTAGCCGCAGTTTGCAGACCATGGCCCTAAAACATCCACTGTGAGGATGGTACTAGTTATGGACTCTCCTTAGGAGATATGGGAAAATAGTTGAATCATCTTCTGATGAGCTTACTTCTTTCCAGAAATGGCTGTGATGTCCAATTATTTACCTAAGTTGCAGTTATTTTAGTTCTCTGTCCAGTTTGTTTCAGTTTAATAATACTTGATTTATAATCTCACTGATTTCAAGAGGATATCACAGAATGCGTTTTCACAGAATGTGTTTTAGGAGGAGCAGTGGGTCTGCAGTGACGGTAGGTTTTCTCCAAAAGGTGGAAGGTTGATTCCCAGTATGGTTGTCCTTGAGTGGCTAGTAAACCGATGGAAAATGTTTGAAAGAGAAGCCTTTTCTTCCAGGCTCCTCACTTAAGAGGAAGGAGCACTCTCCATTTCTTCCCAATCCCCACCCCTTTTATTATTGTGGAAGGAGAGCTGTCCTGTGAGTTCAAGACAACCCCCTTTTCCACCCTGCCAGCTAACTCCTTTCTTCTGCTTCCCTGGGGTTTACTAAGTGTGCTATTCAGAAATGCAAGGCAAGACTTCAGGAGCAGAGGGCAGACAGCTCTCTCCCACAGACCTCTGCTTCCTGTGCAGGAGCTGTAGGCTGTGGGCCGTTCCTGGACCCCAGTCCTCCCTCTCTCTTCACAGACCTGCTGGAGCCTCAGCATTTACACCTATGCAGGAAGGGGGAACCCGCATCCATCCTGAGAATGTGATGTAACCTTCACCCTAGCTTATACGAGAGACTTTCAGCAGGGGAGGAGGAGTTGCATCAAGGGCTTGTTTACCTCTTCGTAAAATCATGCTTTTGGTTGTTGTTATTCCTTGGGTGAGTTCCAAAGTCTGAAACTCAACAGGAAGAGGAGCAATTGGTAGGACTGCATTACCAAAATCCTTAACTGGATGTTTAATGATAAGCACTGAACACAAATTTTATCATGGCAGATGTTTTGTTTTTTGTTTTGTTTTTTTGTTCATTCCTTCTAGCAAGTACCCAGGGAGTCTGGCACATGATAGGAGTTCAATATTTGTCAAATGACTGAATGCATATGGAGATACGTGGTACAGCTTGTGTCAAAAGTAAGTGTACAACCTGTCAAGCTGTGCAGTCCAATTTATTATAGAAACCAGTGGCTAGGCTACATATGGCTACTAAATTACGTATGATTAAATAAAACTCAAAAATCCTGTCTCTCAATTATACTTGAACATCTCAGGTGCTCAGTAGCCACAAGTAGTTAGAGAGGATTGCACTGGAAAAGGCAGATACAGGACATTTCTACCATTGCAGGACATTCTATTGGATAGTGTGCTCTAGAACTCAACTGCCTGCTCTCTTCCACTTACTACTAGCTGTGTAAACACAAGCAAATTAATTCTTTCAGTTTTGTGACAATTGAATGGGCAAATAGGCTAAAGCACTGAAAACAGGGCTAGTGTCTAGTTCTTAATTGTTAGCTAAAAATGCTTTCATATTGGAATGCTGTCCCAATTCAAGGAACTGGGTCCCTAGACAAAATACAGTGTGTGTGTGTGTGTGTGTGTGTGTGTGTGTGTGTGTGTGTGTGTGTGTGTAGTTTTTCCTAAAGGGTATACTAATAAGGCGAGACTGACAGGAATAACCATTTTGAGTCTGCAAAGTCTAATGCCACCATTCCCCCTCAGATCATGACAAGGGGTAGTCATACAATTGAGGGTTGTCTTATAATCAGACCTGGCACCTCAAGACAAATTATTGCTAAGGATAGAGATGCTCACGACTAAAGGATTCACATTGTCTTTGCCCTCCTGCGCAGGGAACCTGGCTGTAAAGAGCAATGCCTGTGAGGATTTAGACGTCCAGGGGCTTCGATAGGTAAGCCACGTACTCAGGGTGAAGCGCCCCGCCCCCCTGCTGCCACCACGCTTCCTGTTTGGTCTACTTCAACAGCCACCACAATGACTGAGGTCATCCCACACCTTGCTCTCCTTGGAGAAGTCCTGTTGCACCTTTCTTAATTTTTCTCTTTTCATTATCCACAGAACTGCTTGAACTTTTCACTTTGCTTTGGGGATATGGCTTGATCACTGATATCATAAAAGACTCCTTAGGAATTTTGTAGTAGAAAAGCTATTATTTTATATTTCATCCATTAACATAATGTTCAATGAATTATTAAAATGCATTAAGCATTATTTTTTTTTGGCTAAAAATAAATTTTGTTCACATCAAACCATAATTGTTAAATGTATACTTTAAGAAGATAACAAAACTTGGCATCTCCTTGAAGTATAAAACATACCAGTGATCTGTAGTCGGATTTGAAATACATTTTAGGTATTCAGCAAACAGAGAGAGGACATCTGATGGTTTGGCGCATTTTGATGACCAACATACATTTCTGAATGCGATCTCAGTTGTTGCTAAGCAATGGATATGCACATATCCACAGAGTGATGATCCACAGAGTGTTCTGGAATATTGAAGATCGATACGTACATTGTGTTATTCCTTGGCACTTTTAAATGCCAAATAAAGTATTTTCTGACATTTTCCCTGTTCTTCAGTACATCTACTGCATGGCCAAACGTGGTTTATTACTGAATCTGGAGTATGGGTACACAGAGGTTTCTCTACACTCAAGAATCAAAGGAAACATTTTTAAGCTTTGATGTCAAACAGCTTGGCGGGGACTGGTGGGGGACAGTATATTGTGACAAAGTAGATGCGAACATACTTTGTAACATATTCTGAATGAATAATAACCTTGGTGGGCTTCCTATTAATTTGAGATCATTCAACCCTAGCATTTTTACTGTAAAACTGTCATTATTGTAATATGTAAATGAGAACAGCATACATAATCAGAAACTGTTCTTTAAGGAAATCTGGACGAGGAGATCTTGGTTTAGACTAAGACACACATTGCTCTAAGTAATTGAATGTTCAAGGATTCTTCTCCATGACAAACAGATATTAGGCTGGCTGGCTTTGTTGACCTTTAATTCACCTTTGCAAAACATAGTTTAAAAAGACAGTCTAGCTCATAAAAGAAAACAGTTGAGTTGTAAATCCACCAATTTAAGATTTTTATAATGGCAATACTGATAGATCTTGATCTTAAAAAACTTCTACTTATATTATTTAAAAGGTTCTACTCTTTTGAAATAAAAGAACTGTGATATGTGGATATTTTATGATATACTTATTTCAATTGTTTTTTTGCCTTCAGTCACTGACAAAATTTTGAAAAAGAGGTTTCCCCAGTGAAGTTTCAGACATGTAAGCATACTGAGAGGAGGAATAAGGGGAAATGATAATTTGTTTTACCCATGATTCTTTTCAGATACAATGTATTCTGCTAATGCCCAGGCCTACATTCCAATGAGTCCATTTGTAGAGCCCACACTGTGGTGACCACTATCTGTCTTAAGTGGAAAACGTATGGAAGCCAATGGCTGTCTTCTCACTTGTGAAAAGCATTCACATTAGCATACTGCACAATGGGCTGAGCCTGGCAATTGAAGGCACAAAGGGTATGTTGGTAGCACCAAAATTCCTTTAGAAACCAAAATGGGCAAACTTAAAATGTTAAACAACACATAAGAACTAGACACCTCAAGCATGTAATTGTATATTTATTTCTCTTTTTAAAGAACACTCCTTAATGTAATTCAATATACAAACTTGGTTTCACAGAATTATAATCCACTATATAGCACAAAGATAACCCAGAATGTGTGTGCATGTGTGTGTGTGTGTGTGTGTGTGTGTGTGCATGCACACACAGGGGTGTGTGTGCACATGTGGTACCCTCCCTTTCTGCCATTCCTCTGGACCTACAAAGGCTCTGCCCACCTATGACACTAACCAAAGCCCACTTTGAATGTCATACACAAAAAACATCCTGCTCCCACAAATTCTTTCCCCTGGAAAGCTTCTTCTCCCATTCCCCCTGAGATAGCCAGAAGTGTGACACTCTTCCCCTCTTCCGAAGGGCAAAGTGGCTTCTCCTAAAGCTGATGCCAACCCTGTCACCGTGTGGACTGGCTGACAGGAAGGGCCGTGAGCAGGTAGGTCTCCATGCCTCTTCCCCGCTTCCACACCCACTCCTCAGAGTCCAAGAGCAACCCCTCCGTAGTAGCCTTAGTTCAGTCACCATCACGTGCAGTAAGAACCAAGAAGATTTCTAAGCCCTGGTCTTCTCCATGGGCAGCGCCCAGCACTGCCTGCCAAGCCACCGGGCCGGCCGATAACCAAGCTCTACACAGTCCCATGTGCTTTGTCACTTTTAGTTTTTAAAGACACCCTAGCATAGGTCTGTGGCAACCTAGTGTCCAACTGAGTTACATAAAATTGTACCAGTGATGCACTTGTACATATTTACATGGGGCGGAATGTTTTCCCATATTTTTAGATGAGTATATAGATCAACATGTTCACATAAGACCAAATACTTTTAATATTATTTATAACTGATTTATAAAGCTTTGAAAAAACTCACAATAGCACATTGTTTACTTTAATGCTTTAAGGTACTATCAGTTTAAAATCACAATCAGCACTTAAGTTATAGTCAATCCAGCAAACAAGAGACAAAAAAATTTACAAGAGTTAAGAACTGACTGATACATCCTTTATCTTTTTTTTTTGTCACTAATGCATAAGTGCATAATAAGATACTCTAGTTTAAATATCTTGTTTACAATATACATTTTTGTTCTAGTTATGCAACAGTAAATCCCATGCTTCACATAGAAAAGCAATCCACAACATTTAAGAAAAAATGTACAATTTATGAAACAAGGTAAATAAATATTAGTATTACAGAATCAGAGCTGTACATAAAAGCTGTTCAGTTTTAATCATATAAAAATATGTTTTAGTGCAACCTCACATATATATTGATGCTGTTTTTGCTTTACATCATTTAGATCCAAGTGTCCAAAAAAGGAAAGAAATTACATTTATTACAAAGCAGATACACAAATTCTAAAATATGTACAAATTACTGCTAAAAAATGCTTATAAGAATATAAGCAAAGTAAAGAAAAGGCACAAACATCTGTACAGTTTTAAAAGTACCAGACCCAATAGGTTAATTTCAAATTTTGTTTTGGTCAGGCTCATGATGACTTGTTAATTTACCTATTCTTTTGCTATAACAAAAGTATGTATATATATATAATAGCAACCTACTGTAACTCAGGACAGGCATGCTATAAACTGGATTACCTCTATCTCTAGAAAAACAAAACCAAATAAGAAAATGTGGAAATGAAAGTCTCCATGCATCTGAGATCAATGTAGCTGACTCTTTTCCAACAAAGGTTCTTTGCCTTCCTCTGTGCTTGAAGGTAATTCTTTGCTACCGTGAAAGCCCGACTGTTTGTCATCCATGCAACTCTTGCTGTAAAATGTGGAGCGAGCTAATGCAGTCTGGGATGTACCAAAGTTGTCCTTTTCACCATCATGCAAGTCAGTGTGGGAAGCCGAGGAACAGGGCTGGCCCGACTCAGGCCCACTAAAGTGTCTAATGCTAACATGTGCGCTTTCCAAGGGTTTCTGGTGGGGCTCCTGCACCCGTGCTAGCTGGTCTGCCCCGAGCAGAGCGGCCTCTTCTGTGGCAATCCGGAGAGAGGCAATGGCTTTTGTGCAAGTCTGTATGTTCTCCTCCTGTTCCCTCTCTGTTGCATTTAAGCTGTCTTCCGAAGTGCTCTGTTTCATCAATAGCCGAGGAGAGGAGGGCATGCTGGGTGGACCAGACGACTGCAAAAGGTGAGGAGATGGCTTCTCGTGCTGCTTGGAAATAACATAGGGATCCTTGGCGAAGGATTCCCCGGAAGCTCCTTTCTTCTCCTCAGAGCCCTCCATTGGCAGAGGCAATGTGGGTGGAGGATGTAAACCAGAGAGGGCCGGCTGCAGGGAGTGAACCATTTGGATCCCACCAACGGGCACCATGGGGATAGGAGCTCGTACTTGCTGCTGAGAGTGGAGTGGAAGATGACTGAAGACGTAGTCATTAGGTCCCTCAGGGAAGAGGCTGGAGCCCGGATGTTCATAAGCACCTTCTTGGTCTCCATAGAGACTGAAGTAAGGAACCTGAGGTAATCCCCTTCTTAGATTCTGCATTGGGAACAGAGAGCACAACAGTTAGAACCCACTGTTCTTCATGCTTACATCAAGCTTTTTCATTCATTCATGCTTTCACTGGTTCATTCAAAACACTTTAAAACTACCTGATCCTTCGATTAATTTTTCATTTTCAATACAAAAGAGGTATCTCAGTTGTCTTTTAAAATCCTTGAGTGAAGCTGCCCTTCTTTGAAAAGTTACTTTATAAACAGCAATGTGATAAAATATGCCTGTGTTTTATATGAGGTAAAGAGACATTTTAACTCTGCTTTTTTCATAAAGAAGAATGAAAAGGAAATAATGGAAAATTACTAGAAAAAGTTTTCCAAGCAAAAAGACACTAATATATTTTTAAATTCAAAAGAAATTTAAAACATTACCATCCATTTATACTAAGTAGAATTTTACTATTTTTATGAAGTGTTAATAAGTATAATCAAAGTAACAAGCCTGAAAATTTCTATTAAAAAATGTTTACTGAATAGATGGCAAAATGGTGATACACAAACTGGTTGCTCCAAAGTGCAAGTTATTAGTCTAATAAAATAGATTCCTGCTCAAGAGACACCCCAGGTAGATGACCAGAGTCTTCACCAAATCAAAGGCAGGTTTTATAAGGAAACTATCAATCCATCAGATAAGCTGTTAACACTAAATACTTGGGTGGTAACAGCTCTTACAGGTGGGAACCAAAGACGACTGTGTCTTAAATCATCTGTTTATATTATTACTTCCATTTACATATCTTCTCATAAATTAATGAATTAAAGATACTTAAAATTTTTGGCCAGAATTCCAGATTTCATGATTTCCAGCCCAGAAAATGGAAAACTTACTTTCTATAAATGTTTCTGTAGCAAAACACAATTTAGACTGTGAGATTATTAGGTTTTAATGAGATTATGTGGTTTTAATGACTTAGATTCATTCTTTTAATGGATTATCATCAGTTTGTTGTTATTTTTTGAGAACTTAAAATCAACTCTAGATAAACATGTCAAGTATGGTAGTAATCCAGGAGACAGACAAAAAAAAAAAATGTTCTCATTCATTTCATGAATGTTTCAGTTCTAAAACTCAAGGTATGCTTTATACCATTAATGATTCATTCAGTTCTATTTAGATTGTGAGACTGGCTCAGGAATGATAAATTATGCATCATCTCTGCTACTCTGTGCCATACTTGGCCTTAACCCTGCTCCAGGCTCCAACTTATTCAAGCTAGAAACAAATTATTTGTCCTGGAATTGCAGGAGAAATCATGTAATCATCAACCCTGTAATCACAAGGGCCTAATAAGTTAGATAAGGAGAGAATTTTATGGTATGAGAGAGTCATTATATGCTATCAGGAAAATCCTACTGGTATTTGTTTTGGTTTCAAAAAAGGCACATTTAATTATTGAAAATAATCAAATGAATCTTCAAGTCACAGTTGTTACAGATTCAAAGTTTAAGATGAAATGTGGTTTGCTTATTTTTCCATTTTACTTTGGGTTGCTATTTTGCGATGGCCATTGCATACCCCTAATATGAATGGGGTCTGGGAGGGAGCCTGAGAGACAGAACTCCCATTGCAAGAGGTATCTCACTCAAGGCTCTTGAAGGGAATGAAGAAATTGTAAAACTAAAATTTATTAATTATATTCAAATTCCAACAAAGCTGTATTTGTGTTAAGAATAAAAGTGTCACATTTAGACCTTTACTGGTCAGAAAACCAATGATTACAACCACAGAAGTTAGCACACAAGCAGAATTTCTATCTGGTAACCACACATCCTCTCTCCATCTATTCATCCCTTCTTCATCCTCCTAATTAATTCTCAATAAGATGTATCTACTTCAGTTTTTACTTTATTTGCAACCCTATTGTGTTCTATAATTTATGCTTTATTGTTGTGATATGTGAACAAACTCACAACTTATTTAAATCTCAGTAAGAGAAATCTTGATGTGGAAATGCAAATAATGAATTCATATGTGGGTTGTGTTATATATAACTCCCATGTACCAGATATATTACCCCACTCATCTTTTAACAGTGTCAGTAGGCCCTCTGGAAGCAAAAGAAGGAAGGATTGCAAGAGGTTTTACCAGTTGGTGTGTGGAGGTGGGGGCAGGAGCAGAGGAGCCAATGCCTGGGAAGGTAATGGGGAAAGGAAGCAAGTGCTCAGCTCAGCTGTGACCCATCTGGGCTCAGGTAGTGGCTGAGGGTTGCAGAACAAAGCATGGCCTTGGCTTAAAAACTGAGGTGTACCCTGAACGAGCTAACAGCAGGAAGTTTTCAGCTGACTACATTCCTTACAGCTGAATGGCAAGTTCTTTTCAGGACCAAAATCTGCTTGGATCACCTCTCTGGCTACCACAATTAGGAAACTATGACTGAGAGGTTAAGTGATTTGCCCAAGATCACAGAGATAGCAAAGGAAAGAACTGAATGTGGACTCTTTCACAGGACACAGTGTTCATCTACACCAGTAGTTGGCAAACTGCGGCTCGCGAGCCACATATGGCTCTTTGGCCCCTTGAGTGTGGCTCTTCCACAAAATACCATGGCATGGGTGAGTCTATTTTGAAGAAGTTGTATTAAAAGTTTAATTTTTAAAAATTTGACTCTCAACAGAAATTTCAATCCTTATGTACTGCTGATATTTGGCCCTGCTGACTAATGAGTTTGGCGACCACTGACCTACACTATGTACTGAGGACCAAGACACTCTTTTGTCTCCTTGCTATTGATCTACCAAATCTCTAAGATGAAGACAGAAACCTCAAAAATTTCACCCAAATCCTTGCACTTCATATAGTAGACTTTTAAGAAATATTTACTAACTGGAAAAAAAGACCTTCTTATTCTATATATCTATGTATCTGTCTATCTGTCTATCTATCTGTTTATCTAGTCATCCATTCATCCTAAAATTGAAACTAACCAGGGGGCATTATGTCAGAAACACCAGGGTCCCCGTGATTGCATATCATCTCCTCCAAACCTTCTCCGTGACTCAGACTAATAATGAGTATAACATGCCGGGCTACAAGGTCCTTTCACTCCAGTCACTGTCTTGTGAGCCCTTGGTCAAGGTCAAGTAAGGAAACAAGGTATTGCTAATAGCATTTCCATAAAAACAAACAAACAAACAAAAAAACACCACTATTTCAGGGGTAATCCAATTAAATATTTTCAAACATTATTCAGAAGGATGAAGTACTTATAAAGTACAGCAATCAGGAGAAATACTTCTCACAGCATTGCCAATTTTATTTTGTCTGGCAACAAGAAGCTCATGTATATATCACATAAAGATGCAAATCTTCCTTTGCCCCTCAAAAACTATGTGAGAAAGCATAAAGTGTTTGGGATCAAATGCTTCTGCTTCAGGGAGGATTTCCAGATCTGTTCCATCATATCATGTGACCAAAGAAGCAGGCTATTAATTCTCTCAAGATAATTACACTGGGTAATAGACCGAAGGCTCAGCACTTGGGCTCCATAAATGGCAAAGTTTAATAATTCTATTAAATATCCAAGTGAATTGGGCATATATGCAAAAGTTAGGTGAACTCCCTTAGCTTACTTCTCCAATTCCTTTGCCTGAGTTGATTGTGAGTGTTATTATTTTTTTAATAACAATACTGTGTTGGCACTAATGGTTTATTTTGTTGTTGTTAATCCTCATTTGAGGATATTTTTATATTGACATTTTAGAGAGAGTGGAAGGGAGGGGGAGAGACACACAGAGAGAAAAACATCGATATGAGAGAGACACATCTATTGGTTGTGCCTCAACCAGGGCTGGGGATCAAGCCTACAATTGAGGTACGCGCCCTTGACCAGAATCAAACCTGAGACCCTTCAGTCCGAGGGCTTTACCCACTGAGCTAAACCCACATGAGCAAGGCTTATTTTTTGTGTGACTACAATTGACTGAATATACTTCAACATCTTACTAATACCACAGTCTCGGAACAGGAGAGCCACATCTCACACATACCATCAGCATCACTGGGTCTAAACAAGAGAAAGCATTTTACACCCAGATGCAGTGTCCTGGCACCTTAAGGCTTTATCACTCTTCATTTATGCTGCAATAGCATTAACTTCAGATTTCTCTTTTCTACTTAACATCACCAAGACACAAACACTAGTGCAAATGTACCTCTTTTTTTTTTCTTTTTTTTTCTTACTACCTACTTTATTAGCTTGGCAAATAAATCCCATCCTGTTTGCTATACAATAGTTACTGCTTGAAAATTAAGTTGATGGCAGGCCTGTGAAAACAGGATGCTGGTGGCAGGGGGCTAAAAAGCAACACCAAGGAGCTTTCCTAAAGTTGAAAAATTCAACAACCTAAGCTTATGATTCAGGTTGGTGAAAAGGTAGTAAGAGGGAGGCAGCTGGCCACCAGGGCAGTGAGAAGACAGGACTGGGAGCTAGCAAGGCTTCCTTTGGCTGTGAAGGGTAGGGTTGAGCCACATGACAGAATTCAGAGCAAAGAGAGAACAGCAAAGAATAGAGACCGCAAAACAACAACAACAAAACACATTTAAAGCAAATATATTCAAGAGGTCGCATTCATCTGTTTATGCTAAGTAGCTCCTTCATTCATTTTCAAAATCCTACACAAACTGAAAGCAACATCAAGGTCTTCCCTGCCATGGAATGAGGCAGGGTGAGTGCTTTTCAATTCATTTGCATTAAACCTCCTGCTTAAATTTAATTCATGATTGTACCATTGTTCTCTTAATTTACACCGAGGGCATATCATAGAAATCTCCTCTGATACTTTCTCTTACGCTCTCCCAAATTCCTACTCTCTTCGGGCCCCCATCTCACTAAGCAAGTGCCCTTGGTTAGCAGGAGATGGAAATAATGGTAAAACACACACATATGTGTTGATGCCTTTGACTTATAAAGGGATCATTCTCTTTTCTCCCTCATTAGTGTCACATGTTCACTCATTGTGAACAAGGTCATGCTCAAGGTATTGAGTTTATTTTTCAAAAAGTTACTGAAAGTCAAGACTAATACCCAAATCAGAATCCTCACATAGCAAAGAGTTATATAACTATGACAGCTAAATACCCCTGAGAGTGTCTGTCTAAGCATTCATGACACTCCAAAGACTTTATCTTTTCTATTCATGTCGAAGTTTCGGCTCATGTTTATAATTAGTTAAGCTTAGAAAGCATTCAGGAAGGCCTCACCTGTTACCAGCTGGAATGCACCACTGCTCTGATGCAATACTACTACACTTGGGGTAGTGCCACAGCCATGTAACTGACAATAGCTTGTGATAAAAATGTCTTCCTACTATTTTCAGTAACCGAGTTCACTCCTCCCCAGGAGAGAGACTCATGTGATAAATTCCACACTAGTGCGTTATCAAGAGGTTCTCATGCGCCATGACTTACATATTAAAAAGAGAAAGCTACTCATACTCACAGGAGGCCCCAATACGATTGGATCTGCTTGCAAATACTGCCCCATGGACAATGGTGGGTTGTGGTATAAAGCCCTTCTGGGAGATGGTGCTCTGATGGAGGTCATGTATCTTCTCTCTCTTCTGGGAGAGAGGTCTCTTCTTGCTGTGATATCTTTCCCAGGTGACAATGGCCTCCTTGGGGACAGATGCCTTCTTGGTGAAACATCTCTTTGTGACATCTCTCTTCTCAATGCAGCTTCCTTTCTTGGTGAAAGATGTCTCATGGGTGATAGATCTCTCCTAGGTGATAAGTGTCTTCTGGGTGATAAATCTCCTTTGGGTATCAGATACCTCTTTGGTGAATTATCTCGACAGGGTGAAGAATCATATCCTGGTGAGGAATGGTGGCTTGAGGGAGAGAAGTCCCTTGGAGAGGAGCTGGGCTCTGAAGACAGCATGCATTCTTCATCCATGCAACTGGGTATGTCTAACCTGTCTTTGTCTGGTTCCGAGTCTGTACTTTTGCTCTGGAATAACCTCTGGTATTCTGTCATCTGGGTATCTTCACATGAGTCGCTTGGTGTCACAAGCTGAGTAACCTGAATACTTGGCAAAGTAACCAAATAGCTGATCAATGAAGAATGTCCCAGGGAACTATCAGAGGGAACCCCATGGGGTATGGCGCCAACATTCACAGGCAAAGAGGAGAATCTAGGAGGCTGAGGACTGGTGCTTCTTGATCTGGTTTTTGGTGTCAAATCTCCCTGGTCATCGAAGTCATCATCATCTTCATCATCATCATCATTATCATCTGCATCCTCACCATCCGATTCTTCAGCATCGGAGAACTGATGATCAGTTGAAATGCTGGACATGCTATGCTTTTCAGCCACTTTGTGCAAATCTTCCATAGTTTCTGAAACAATTGAACAGAAGATAGTCGAGTTCCAGATCCAAACATCAAGATTAGGAGCTAACTTAGGCCCCATCTCTTCCCAAAAGCTTTCCTCAACCCTCCAGCCCCTACAGATAGTTTTCATCTCTGAACACCTGCCACTCACTGGATACATCTCTCTGTAAGCCTGCATTGGTCCTTATCTTTTATGTACCAGTCCTATTTCAACCCACCTTACAATAAAAACTCCAGAGTAAAACCTTGTATCTTAGATATCACACCACCCATAGAAAATCATCAACAAATATGTATGTAATGTTGTAAATGATAATGTTAGAAAAAATAAAAAGCAACAACCTGTCTCTATAGGTATAAGCTTGTGTGTAAGGAGAATATCTTAGGAAGTTTGGCTGAGCGTCAGGTTTTCTATTGAGGTTAATAATGTGTGTTGTTGTTTTTTTCTATTGCATTTCCTCTTAATAGGACAAATAAGATATTAAGATGCTTTTCAAATTTCCCAGAAAGTTTTATAAAATGTACATCCCTAACACAACAAAAGTGCAGCTGGATTTCCTTTATGGTTCTAGATAGAAATATTTTCTTGGTAAGACCTCTCTCCCTTCCTACTTATGAACTGAAATGCATTTGCTTCTTCTCAGTAGGTTTCAAGCAATTCAACATGATAGACTTCTTTTCTATATTTAATATTTAATAAAATAAAATGTGATTTTTTTTTTTTTAAAGAAAACATCTAAACTTATTTTACCACCGGCCACAAAGCTGAAGCATATGTAGTGAAACAGTCCACCAGCTAAATGATAGATACCTGTTTCCTCGGTTTCTGTATCATCCACTGAAGTCATCGAGACACCCAACTCCAGGCATTTTTTCATGTGCGCTTTAGATTTCATATGCTTTGTCAGGTTTCCTAGAAATCACAAATGATAAAATAATTAATCTGTTACCAAAATGTGATGATTGCTCCAAAAGTCACTTGAGATGATAGGAATTTGTTTCTACCCATGATCCCTTCCTTCAATCAGAAGAGGGACAATCTGGTTTGTGAAGATAGTAAGCCCTGAGGGCTGTGGCTCAATCTTAGGTTTTCTTCATTCTAGAAGACGTGTTGGCACCTAAAACCACATCTTTTCAAGGGTAGGCTCCAAGCAGGACTTGGAATCCCGCTTTCCTGACTGAGAAGGGATCTTATATCTTTGGCCCAAATGGGTCAGCCTCCTAATTCTATAAAATAAGGAGCTAATATGCAAATGGTCATCACCCCATTATACTATAATGACCAATCAGCAGGGACCTGAGGCTGTGTGGTGCCTGGCCAGGCTGGGGAACCTCAGTACATGCCCTGCACCCGGCAGAGCTTGAGGTGGGACCTCATGCCATGCCCTCTGCTTGGTGGGGCTTGATGGGGCCCCTCAGGCCATGTGCCCCTCCCTCCTGGTGCCAGTCCTTGGGACCTGAGGCTGCACCTCCTGCCCAGTGGGACTTAATGGGGGTGTGGCCAGCCAGGTCTGGGTCTCCTGCAATTTTAAGGTGCACACAGGGGGGCGGGGACTTGACTCTGGGTCATGCAGAGAACCCCAGGCTCTGACAGGAAGGAGGTTTTCATATACATTTTACTAATTTTCTTCAATCTCTGACACTTCTATTACAGAGAAAGGGCAAATAGCAATATTAAAATATTTCTTCTAATTAATTCCCTTTTAATGTGCACAAATTTCATGCACCAGGCCACTAGTACTCCATAAAAAGTCAAACTGTGTCACAATCTCAGAGTTAACTTCGCAATTAAATATTATCAACAAAGCCACTTCCTGGCACTGATCTAATATAGATTAGACTCACAGGATCTTAACTAGTCAGAAGAAAAAACAAATCCAAACTAACATTAGGGGCAAGCCTGTAATGAATTCAAAGAACAGGCATACTTTATGACAGCAGTTTCTTCTGGGGCAGTAATACTGCCTTTTTACTTATCTTGAAACTCCTATTATTCCATGAAAAAAGAAAAAAATTTATGTCACATACAGTATGTATGATGACATAGAGATACATAATTATATATATATATATATATATATATATATATATATATATACACACACACACACACACAAATGTGTATGTAAGTTTCTGTAGATTTATGTAATTTCTATATGTAATGTGAGAAATTATGAAAACACTGATCTAATCAATTTTGACTTAGGATCTATGGGAAAAAAAATATATATATACTGTTCCATGTCATATATAGCTTATCAAAAGAGATCCAGAAGTTAATTGTTGTAAAGGCCATAATATTGTCTAAGCCCTTTGATGCTGCCTTAGCAATGTACCAGTAAGTACCTTAATTTAAAGAATAGGCTCATTGAATCTAGGTAGAAACCTTCAGCCTGCTGAAATAGTTTGTTCCCCTTGTAAAGGGTGTTTAGTTTGCTATTAATGTAATATATGAGTCACAATTCTAAACTAGGACACTGTTGTTTATTATTTTACTTATATTATTACAGTTTCTTTAAAAAGCTCAAACATTTTTGTAGACAAATCATCGAGAACTTTAAAATCTGAAAATTGATTAAATATAAGTACAAATTAATAGAAACCATCTACTCCTGCAAGGGAGCTAGGAATCTTGTATGTGGATGGGTGTGGATGTTAAATGAGTCAAGATAATTTATTTTGATCTTAATATGTGTTTCTTCTTCTGTCTTTTTCTTTCCACTCGTTTCAAGCAGGTGGTGAAGCTTTGAGCTTTCGTTTTTAGGGAAGGTGTGTTGTTAGAAATCTGGCTCTACAACAACCCCACCCTGGCTTTAGTTTATGGGATTCTTGAACTTCTGAAGGGCTTAGAGCAAGAAGAGGGGAACTGAGCAGTAGGGTAGGGGGCAGGCACTGAAGGAGTGGCCCGGGCCTGAAGGAAATACTGGTCCTATGAGTGTGCTCCTGATCTGAGCTCAGGTGTCTGGGGTTTGGGTAACAGGATCTCAGCTGGAGGGGATTCCCAGAATTTTTTGCTCATTTTAAGATTCTGAGAAATTTTCACATTTCCAAAGAGGCATAGTAAAGTGAAATAATGACCAAGAATAAGTTATTTCCTTCTAAACTCCAAGACAATGGTTCAAAGTGAAATTTAAGTTGATTTAAAAAATATCTTTAAAACGTTTCTTCCCCGTATTGCACACAGCTCTACCTGCAGACAAATCATATGTCCAGTAAAGATATATTGGTTGTAATGACTGGCAGATTTGCAGTATATTTTAAAACTAAAGTTTATATTTTCTTATCTCCCAGGAAGTCTCTTAGTGAAATTCTATATGAAAGTCTTGATGGTGCAATGGTGAATGATATTTAAAGGACATTTTGTGTATTTCTTTTGAAAAGCAAATGAACATTCTCTTCCCCCTTCTCTGGCTTGCTAATAAAGAAAAAACAGGTATATTGAGAGGCTTCACATTTATATTTCTGACAAACCATTGAAACAATTCAGGATTTTAACTATAAAAGAAAATAAGTACACATTTCTCTAGCAAAGACTGAATTTTCTCTGATATTTACTTTTCTTGATGTGGACTAAAGTGGATCAACTGGAATAGAAATTTAAAGTTAAAACTTTGGAAAGTGATGTGAGGCTTCTGAAGGGTGAGAGGTGTCTAGAGGATCCATTAGTACTTCTAAAAAAACAGTAGAACACACTTCTACAAAAGTCAATCCACCTCTAGTTCACTATTGTTTGTATTCTGAGAACCCTGGGTTTATGAACACTTTAGAAACATAATCAAAGCAACCTTCTCCTGTAAAATACTTTCATATGAAACTACCTGTTTAAAAAAGATTTAGAGCTGAAGCCGGTTTGGCTCAGTGGATAGAGCATCAGCCTGTGGACTGAAAGATCTTGGGTTCGATTCTGGTCAAGGGAATGTACCTTGATTGCGGGCACATCCTCAGTGGGGGGTGTGCAGGAGGCAGCTGGTCGATGTTTCTCTCTCATCGGTGTTTCTAACTCTCTATCCTTCTCCCTTCCTTTCTGTAAAAAGTCAATAAAATATATATATATATTTAAAACATATTTAGAAAATACACAGAATATCTTTTCAAGGCAAGTCCTAGTTATGACCTAAGAATAGGAAATTGTCTCTGTGATGATAAATACAGATCCCAAGCTATAAAGTGTCTATGCATAATTAATGCTACTGTGGATGGAGGGGCCCACCTGGGAATCTGTGGATTTCTACATTATTTATAATCTTGAAACTGACCATGGGCACATGTTTTTCCCCCCAGCTGCTGCTTTGCTATCCTAATGCTACTGCATGATCTCCCTGTAGTATTTCAATACTGCTGCAAAGATTATTTAGATCACATAACATTCCAACATGAAGTAATAGCTATCCAGGCAATTCTGAGCCACTTCCTTCAGAGATAACTGGCCTGGGCCCAACTCTATATGGCTCTTAAGTCGTAAAAGGAGCCTCATTGTCTCATATACATCCTTTAATCACTTACATGAGGGAGGAAACACATTTCATGGGGTCATATTTTCACAAACAAAATCTATCATTTTGTCGATAAAATGGGATCTGGAATCCAAGGTAACCATAAAATAGTGATTCTCCTCTAAAAAAAAAAAAAAAAATCAGACCCATACCTTTCGTCTTGAAGGCGAAGTTACATAACTTGCACACATAAGGCCGGACATCAGTATGAGTGCGGATATGCTTTTTGAGCATGCTTGGTTTCTTGCAGCGAATCCCACATTCTTCACAGATGTACTTCCCACGTCCACGTCCTCTGACATATACATAATCTTCATTTGACTTATACCTGTTTAAAAAGGGGGAATCCAGCTAAAGTGTTTTCAAATACTTTAGCACGTGATATATATAATCAAACCCAAAGCTAATCATCTGCATGGCAAATTTTTGTGAGAGGCTTTTATAATTACTCAACCTTATTGCCAAGACCTATAAAATTTATGCAGTAAATGCCTGAAAGAGTTAGATAATATATTTGGTATTGTAAACAAAATGGACTTTCTTCTTACATTTAGTTCAACATGGAATTTGCTCTTTTCTATTAAGTATAACATATAGACTTGTTACAGACTATCAACTGGACTTATAAAGCCCCAAAGAGTTGCAGAGCTGTGCCTTACTACTGTTGGATTCTAGTAAAACTTCCAAACAAGAATCATCCAAAAAGTTCTACCAACATATTCAAATAATCATATATCATTTAGTAATATTACATCATCTAAGATGTGCATGCACCACACATATACCCCTCCAAATTTGCTAAAATTAATGTAACTGATAATAGACTTCTTCTTTGCAAGTTTCTACTCTATTTTTATAATCCTGGCACGAGAGTGCGTTGGAAATTTCTAGCTTACACAGGCTGAGCTGAGCTCACCAACTGTTGTCTACAGATTTCATCTGCTCTTCCCAAGGACTGAGAATCTGTATACAAATGGAGTCTAAATTTCAAGTGGCTTCTGGGAGATACTGTTACATAATGAAAACCAAAGATTCAACTTTTCAATCAAATTTGCATTGGTGTCCAGGAGGATTTAGTTGAGAGGTTTGAAAGAATGTCTAGTTAAATTAGTTAGATGAATAAAGTCTTAGGTATTTACTGTGATAATCTACAGAAGAAACCTACCCAGTGCTCAAACATCATACAAAGAAACATAATCTGCCATAGAGGAGAGTGACATTCTATTGAATAAATCAGTGATTATTATCTCCTTATCCTCTCATAAATCACAGTGAGGCTAGAATTATGGGTCTAAATGTCATTCTTGGAAAGATATTCCTTCTGAAGTGTATTATTTATAACTTCAAAAGGTAAATTGACATACAAAATGCCCTATTCATTGGGTATTAAATTAAAGGCGCTAGGTTTCTAATTTCCTACATTCCCAGAGCACTGTAAACTTCTCTATTTGTCCCAGCTAATCCATCATCAGGAATAATGATTCAACCTCATTCATCCAATGCACTGAAGAATTTTTAAGAAAGAAAAATCCACACACGTATTAAATACCAGATCTGCTATAGATACTGTTTAATCTTAACATGATCTACTTTTTGGTTAGTACCAATCCAGGTGAGATTTAAAAATGAATAGTTAATTTTGCATGCTTTCTGCTCCTTTAAATCTGTCCTCTTTTACAAAAAAAAAAAATAAAATAAAAAAAATTAAAAAAAAAAATCCAATATCAGTTTTAGGCTTTATCTTTTATCTAACATTGTATTTTGTCATAAAGTAGAAAAGAACCTAAAGATGCAAAATATCTTTCACCTATTAATTTCACTATTCTCTCCCACTAACTAGATGAAATTATCTAAGGAGTACAGAATAAAAGAATTTCATGGAAAGCTAATTTTCTTTGGAGAAGGATACTTTAAACTTATTGTAGCCCATCATCACAGTTTATTAGAATACATTTTTTATTCAAATAATATAATTTAATTTTTAATGTCTTAACTGATTAAGTTGATTCCAGAATGGAAATATGGTAAAGTTCTGTATAAACATAATTCTATATTAGAAAAATCTATACAAATGAAATATCTACCAACCTATCATTCTGCACACCCATGAATCTACTTGATGTGAGAAGAGATTTTTGAAAAAAATAAAGGATATGTTTAATTTAATTCTAAATCTATAAATTCGATTAAAAAAACCACACATACCCTTAAACAACTGGTCAGTAATATCTCTCTCTCTCTCTCTCTCTCTCTTTTTTTTTTTTTTTTTTTTTTTATGAGTTGGTACTACACTGCTTGGAATGAACCTGGTTACCTCCAGGCAGAAATTGGACCACAGATTAAGGAATGATTAGGACATAGCCTATAACATGGGACAATGAAAGGAGGAAGAAATGAAATACGGGCACAATCCTTTTGGGTCATCAAAACACAGCAATAAAATGTTCACATACGCTTTTTCATTCGTGTCCTTCGTTAGTGGAGATGGGCTCACCAAAGCACACAGTAACTGTGAAGGTCTCTCTAATCTAGAACAAGTGCACTGCTATGAAGACTGCTGAATGTAAGAGGGTTGATTCAGTCACAGGGACCTCTCAGTCTCTGAGGAAAGATAAAACCTATATTTCTCTCGTTTGTATCAAAAGATGAGGGATGTCAAAAAATAGTGAGACAAGCGTCATGACTAAATATGCAACTACGGTTTTAGTGAAAGTACTCGACATCCATCAAAAGAAGGCCAAACCTAAGAGGGAATCAATTTTAATCATCCATCTCCAAATTGGTAATCTATGTGAGAAATCAATATTTCATTTCACTAAACAGTCAACATTGTATAGTCAAACAGATAACATTAATTTGTCCTATAAATATTATTGGAATAAGTTGATGCACATGAAAATATGTAAGGTATAGATCTGTTGTACAGATAAGGTGCTGGTTACATCATAATCTCCTACATGTGGTTAACGTGCTTTTAATATTTTAAAAATTTTGAAAGCAAAAATCTGGGTTTTTTCCCATTGACTGGATCTAAGATACATTTCCATCGAAATCTAAAACTAGACATTACACATATGTGTACTTTTTCTTAACTATACAGATAACAAAGTCATTGGGCCTTATAACTCATGTTTCTGCCACTCAGAATGTAACATTTAAAAACAAATTCCTAAAGCAGAAAACTGTCACAGACCAGAGGAGTTTGGGGAAGCACAGCTCAATGCAGTGCGGTCCCCTGGCTTGGATCCTGGAGCAGAAAGAGGACATTGTGGAACTGGTGAAATCCCATTGAGGTTTAAAGTGTGGGTAATAAAAGCAATAAAACAAACAAGTAAGTTAACCAGTGCCTAGGATTATACGTGAGTGTGCACGACTGCATTTCTGTAAGCATAGAATAAAAATTTGTTCTCTAATAGCACAACAAATGCCCATAAAAAATAATATAGAAGAATACAACTTTGAAGATTCCACCAACTTGGTCGATTTCATACTAAATTAGAGGCATAAAGATTTAAAGCAGAGGTTCAAACCATATACAACAGGGACATGTTCATCAAAAGAAGTCATGAAAGCAAGGACATGAACTCATTATCTACTACCAGCCAGGCTTCAGAAATGTCAATAGAAAAGGAATTTGCTTTTCCCTTCCAACCCGCGTAGATACCACTTTTCCCATGCAGGCACTCAGGACCGTTTCCTCTGACTTAAACCTGAATCTTTTCCTTTTGCACTTATGTTTCCTTACCCTCCTTCAAAGATTTTAATTCGGATTGGCTCAGCTTGTTTGGATCCGATATCTTTATCTCCGTGAATATCTCCTTTCCCTCTTTCCTTTAAGATATTTCCCACTAGTTTCCTTTCTAGTTTGCTGCCAAATAAAAAGGACGCATCAGGCTTCATCTGTAGGACAAGAAGAGAGAATCATTTCATATGCTTTCTCTAAGACAAAGGGGAAGCCCACATTCTCTGCTCTTCTTCGATCTCCAAAAATTAGCCTCAATTCCACACTAAAAAGCCAAGGGCTGGTTACATAAAATAAGGGATAAAATCAGAAAAGAATGATACTGTCTTCTGAATAAATTTAACATTTTGTTTAAAAAGAATATGCCTTGCCTGGCCAGTGTTGCTCAATGGTTGAACATTGACCTATGAACCAGGAGGTCATGGTTCGATTCTTGGTCATGGGTCATGCCTAGGTTGTGGCTCGATCCCTAGTAGGGGGTGTGCAGGAGGCACTGGATCAATGATTCTGTCTCATCATTGATGTTTCTATCTCTCTCTTCTTCCTCTCTGAAATCAATAAAAATATAGTTTAAAAAAAAACTCCTATAGTACTTATACTGTGGAACACTAAGAAAAACTTTAAAAACAATTTTATATTCTGAAGTAGCAATTAAAGCTATCTTTATTAATTAAGGAAATATTTTCAAAACTTAATGAAGGGAAATGGTAACTGAAATAAGTAAAATAATTTAAACCCCTCATGTACTTCTTTAATAATTTAGCATTAAGTTCCCAAATGTCTCCTGCTAACATTTTTAAAAATAATTTCACATGTAATGCATTCATTGTTCATTTTTGGAACAAACCAGCTAGTCACTTGGGAAAATGAGATTTGAGAGACACACATAGAAAAGAAATTTTAGTAAAAAAATACTGTCAATGGGAACTAGCGCTCTGAAATTTGCAAAGTTCAATTCTGACACCCTGTCCATCTGCTGCTTGATCGTCCCTTCCACTCCCTGCTCTATGTCCCCATTTCACAATTTCCTGAATTCCTCGCATGAAAAGAAAAGTCAACCTGCTAGGTCATGAACACAGGTCAGGAGGGAGAAGAACCCAAAGGAATCAGTCTCAAAGGTAGAATTTCCTGGCACTTGGGTGGAGGGGATACTTGCGGTTTGGACTTTTCCGGGGACGCTTATAACAGAGCTCATGCCAATGGCTTCTCTTACCCAGGGGCAAGCCTAATGCTGTGCAGGCCTCCCCCAACTCAAACCTTCATCTTATTCGAAATTTTTAGATTGCCCTTCACTATGCATTCTGCCCAGCAATCAAATCCGCAACACAGAATGCTTTCAGAACAGCATCCATTACCTGAGCGAACTGCTTCCAAGCACTGGATGACGTGAGCTTGCCAGTTCCGGGCCTGTGCATAGCAGCCAGGGTATAAATTTCTGCGGTGATTTTTTGCTTGGACCTCAGAAGAGCCAGCGTGGTCTTGGTGTTCAATCCTGATGGGTTTGGGTTACAGGAACTAATGCACCATGAAGCATAAACCGAGGATTTGAAGGTGGCCTGTTGCACATAATTGGGTTTTGTATAATTCAAGAAGCACCAACTCACAGTCGTTGTTGTCCGCAGACTGGGGAACTGAAGAATCTGCTGGAAATCTGCCACATCGGTGAAGAGAAGTGTTGAGTTTGCTACTTTCCTGCTTGGGCCCGAGGCCATGTGGACTAGCATGCCAACGGGTAGCTTCTGGCCCGTTCCCTGCTCTTCCAGCTGACTGTCTCCCGGCGGCAATGTGGAGCTCTGTGGGCTCAAGCTCATATCGGAGGCTGTCTCATCAATATCTAATTCATCTGAGGACTCTTTGCTTTCGGAAGGCCCACTGGACTTCTGCGAGAGAGAGGGTGCCCTGGAGCTGGGAGGGAACGGCTCCCTCAGGGGCGCGCTGGCCGAGGGATGGTCTTGAGATGAGGAAGGGGACAGGGAGGAGAAAGAAGATGACCTTGACTGCAAGCCGTCCTTTGGCTCGGAAGCACAGCCTTGTCGGACCAGCTGGGGTTTCTGCGGGCGGGAGAGATCCTTTTTGATATCAGAGTTGGTGAGCTCCACAGCACTGAGCTCCTCCACAATCTGTCCGTACATCTTCTCTTCCTTGACCCTTTTCTGCTGCTTTGTTTCCATGAAGAGCTCTAGGCTGCTGGCTGGTGAGAGCATCCGCTTGCTACCTCCCAGGGAGGCGGCACTGTCCGAGGTGGAAGGTAAGCACAAGGGAATGGAGGATTCTAAGCCGAGGGGTAAGGTCTGAGGTACTTTCCAGATGGGGTATTTTTCCAAACCTGCATGCTGCCCCAACACCTGGGCGATGTTAAACCCTATCCCTTGCATGGCCGCATTGGTTACCAGTGTCCTTTGGGTCATGTTCTCGTCGACTTTGCATATGACAATCGCAGGGCTGTTCTGCCCGAGAATCTGAGAGATGCTTGTGTACATGACACTCCCGTAGGACGGAACGTGGGTCTGGATCCTCACTGGAACCACTGTTCCCGGTAAGGACTGCAAAGGCCCAGCAGTGGCCGAGGTGAAATCTTCTGGAAGAACCTGCTCAGAGGGAGTATCCATTGACTTGGCGCTATGGTCGGAAGGAAACTTTGGAAGAAGGCTCTTTGAGTGTAGGCCCGACGTTCCTGAATAACACGGGTAAGCTTGCTCTTTTGTGTGCGCATAATCTGCGGCTTTCTTTCCGGTGTGCTCTGCAGCGTACTCCAGGGGGTAGCTGGGATGGATTTCTGCCGGGAAAGGAGGCTTGCCATAGCCCTTCTGAGGGTGTGGCGCGAGCGGGGGTGGGAAATGGGACTGCCACCAAGGAGGCTGCTGAGCGGGCAAGTGGACCATGCAGACGGTTGGATACTGGAACTGAAACAAGGCGTTCTGGATGGGGGAAAAGTGGACCGTCTCTTGGTGTGGGAACAAGGGCGGCTGCTCGGACAAGTGCTTGCTCGCCAGATACGACGCAGGTTGCAGCAAGGGATTCCTCAGGGCTTCCTGGCTGTCCATGTGGAGGATCTGTGGCGCGGCCAGGTGCAGGGGCCCTGAGCTCAGCTGGGCACAAGGACCCACCAGCTGCTTCCCTGGGTCCTCTGCCTGGAGAGGGGGCAGCAAGGAGGAGGACGGGGCAAGGTGCCACGTGGATCTCAGGCCGGCGGCGGCTTGCAGGTGCTCCAGCTGCTCCTGCTTCACGCCTGGGTCCGAGCAGGCCTCGCCCTGGGCGATCTCGGGAGAGCCGCTGAAGGACGCCTGCCGCACCAGGAAGCACTTCTTCCTCTCCCTGGACGGGGAGGCCGTGGAGGCCGGCGCCCCTGCCCCCGGAGGAGCCGCGTGGGACAGGTTCCCGTAATCGAACGATTTGCTCCGAATTTCCGGGACTTCGGCCGGGTGCGGGCAGGGCATCTGCTCGGAGGAGCAGCGGCGCATCTCCTTCTGGGGGTGGTGGTGGCCGGGCACAGACAGCGAGTAGGAGCCCGTGGGGACCGTCAAAAACTCCGAATGCTTCCCAAACTCGTCCTGCTTGGCCCCTGGTGCGGGTGCGGGTGCGGCTAGCTTCCCGGTGGGGGTGGCTTCTTCCCTGTCGAAGGACATGGAGAAGCTGGAGCTGTGGGACAGGTTGCTCTCCTGGCTGGGGCTGCGGGAGAGGCCGGTGCCCGTGGACTCGAAGCTGGACTCCCCGGAGGAGTGCTCCATGTCGGCCAGGCGCAGCCGCTTCTTCTTGGGCGGCAGCTTCTCGGCGGGCAGCTGGGACAGGGTCTCGCTGCGCTGGGGCCACTGGAACTCCTCCACCACCACCACGGCCGGCTTCTCCGGGGGCTCTTTGCTCGGGGCCTCCTTCTCCTTGTCCGGCTTGTCGGGCTCCTCCGTGACGCGGATTTCGGGCACCTGGATGTTGTGCTGGCGCACCAGCCGGGGCTGCGCGTGGTAGGCGGGCTGCTGAGGGGCCTGCTGCCCGGGGGCCGGCTTCCCCCCGCCGCCCTCCGCGCTGTCCCCCGCGGGAGCCCATTCCGGGCTCACCGGGGCCTCCGACACCTCGCTGTCCCCGGCCTCCGACGGCGAAGAGGAGGCCGCCTTCTCCGGGGCGCTGGGCACCAGCTCGGAGGACTCGGACCTCTCGAAGGAGTTGGGCCGGCTCAGCGAGTTGGTGTGCTGGATCACGGAAATCACGTTCCCTGGAGGCTTCCTGCCCCCGAGGTCTGGCATCTTTTCCGAATCGGAAGGTAACTCCTCGGACCCTGACCCCAGAGAGGGACTTCCCGCGGCAGGCAGGTGGGGCCGAGCCGGGTCGAAGCGCTCCGCGTGGCCGTGGGGCGCGCTGCTCTCCGGCAGCCTGGGGGGCTGCTCGTACTCCGGGGGCATGATGCTGCTGCAGATCATGGGGGTGTCCTCCTCGTCCCCGACGCTCTTCTCCTTCCGGCGCTTCCTGTTCTCGCACGGGGTTCCGAACAGGGTGGCGGGCACCCCCGGCGAGGGCACTGCCGCCGAGGCGGAGGGGTCCACGAAGTACTCCCCGCCGCCGCCGTGCTTGAAGGAGCCCAAGCTGGGCAGGTCCCTGTAGCTCTGCTTCGGCGCATCGGAGTCGTCCCACTTCTTGTAGGGCTTCCTGCAGACCTCGTAGTCGTAGCCACCCCTGTCCCCGGGAACCAGCTTCTTCTCCTTCGAGGAGGAGGAGGAGCCCGAGATGCTCTTGAGCAGCAGCCGGCCGTGGTGGTGCTCGGCCTCCGCGTGCCCCTCCTGCACCGAGGGCAGCTCGAAGGCAGCCTGCCTCCGGAGCATCCTCTGCGGGGGGATGCCCACGGTCCCCGGGTAGAACACGTCGTCGGAGCCCGTCATCCTCTCGTCAAACGAGTGGCTTCCTCGCAGAGAAGGGGGCACGCTGAGATTCGTCGCTGAAGACGTCGGCATGGAGTTGCTTCGGATAAGGGGCGAGGAGTCCACGGGAGCCTCCAGGAGAGCCGGGCTGCTGCCTTGGAAGTTTGCAGGATAAGGTTTTCCCTCGCTCCGGATGGACGGCGGGATGGTCTGCGATGGCCTGGGCTCGCTATTGAATTTAGTGGACTTCAGCATGCTCGTCTGACCCGGATCCAGCTCCCCTTTGCCGGGGATCAGCTGGGAAGCAGGGTCTTCGAACATCTTGACGTCTAGCCTGGTGTTGGCGTGAGGCAGCGGCTCCATCACGCCCTTCCTCCCCATGGTGGCCCGCTCCTGACTGGTGTTGGTAACACTGAGTGTGTTTCTGGGACTGAGCCGGCAGTATTTCCCAAAGATGATTTCCTCATAAGACTTGGCATTTGTGTTTGGGGGGCTGATCTGCTGCTCTGCGCTTTCGGAGCGAGAGAAATAACCGGAGTCAGTGCTCCCCTTACTGTGCGGGCTCAGGAGGTTCAGGGATGGCTCAGAATCTTGTCCTTTCTTCTCGGACAGCCTTAGTGCAAGTTTCTGCTTCACCGTGTGAGAGTCATCGGCCTTCGTATGTAAAGACAGGCTGGGTGGCATCTCAGAGCCAATATACGGGGAGCTTTCATGAGGCAAAGGAAGTCCGCTCTTAGGAATAATCAGAATCGGCACCTTCATGGGACCTCCCAGCGATTCCTCCAAGGACCCTGGGTAGCCCCCTCTGCTGGCAATGTCCAAAGGGAGGGGTGGGCCAGGACTCATTTTGTCCGAAGCCTCCGCGAATAAAGAACTCTCCTCATCTGTGTCTGTGCTCTGCTCGCCGTCTGAATGTATTTCTGCTTCTACATCAATAAAACCGGCCTCGAGGTCCAGTTTAGAGACAGCTGACTCTGTGAAAGGGACCAAGCCCGCCTTAATGGCATGGGCATGCGACTTCCTGTGCTTGTACAGATTGCTCTTGGTCTTGAAGGAGAAGCCGCACGGTATGCAGGGGTACGGCCGCTCCCCGGTGTGGGACCGGATGTGCTTCTTCAGCACGCTGGGCTTGGCACACGCCCTGCTGCAGTACGGGCAGATGTACTTGCCCGGCTTCTTGGGTTTGTGCTCTTTCTTGTGAGCGTCTTCGGACTGTTCGATACTTTTCTGGGAGTATTGGCTAAAAGCAGGGCTCAAACTGGAAATCTTTTTTCTCGGGTAACCACCACCGTGGCCGTGGATCGGAAAAGGAAATAAGTCCTCGGAGGCAACAGATGGCAAAGGGCCGGGGAAAAGCCACGGAGGGCCTTCGAGGCTCTGGTGTGGCTTGTTGCTGTGCATGACCCCCTGTGGCACTGAGTGCTGCGGGAAGGAGAGTGAGTGTTGGCATGAGTAAGGACTCGGACGGTGCAGTGGGTATTGCTTCTCTGCGACGTGCTGGGCCACCTCGCCAGGGGAGGCCAGCTTCCCAGACCCGAAGAGCTGTGCCGATGCCGTGTTTCCGATCTGTTCCGGATCTATCTGCGGTGGCCGCTGTCCGTCTTGACTGCCGAAAGTGCTCATCTTAATAACAGCCGGTTGTCCCTGTCTCCATCTACCTGACGCTTTATCAGTTTCTCCAGGCCTTGAGGTAGCTTTTTGTCCTAGAGCTGTGTCCCCAGTGTCCATTTTTGTCACACAAGATCTTAAGTGCTAATTCTCGTGAAAGCCCTGCAGACTCATGGAGTGTCTCCGAAGTTGTGCGAATCACAGCGTGCTTGCTTCCATGTTCCAGGGTGTCTGCAAACGTGCCAACGGCTTCTTCTCTTCGGAGACTTTCACACTCCGAAGTCTATGGGCAATAAATGGCAACGTCCTTGGACCAGGGCTATAACACAGTTCTCTCCATGGTAGCCAAGTCCATCCAAAAGCTAATGTAAATCTCTAAAAGTTTCTTATGGCATTTGAATATTTTCAACTAGGATGAATGGTAAATAGTCTAGGAAAAATTTTGCCCATCAACTAGAGCAAAGTTCAATTGTCAGTTTCACTGAGATAAAATGATCTGTGGGAATAAGAAATACAAAGAGATTGTCAAAACAGTTATCAAGTAAAAAAAAAACCAAAAAACCAAAACCATTCCTAAATAACCAGGCTGAAATTGGATAAATTGAAAATTACTTTTGCTCTAATAAATTTTTTTATGGCTGCTACATAATTTCCACAATTAAAGGATATTAATAGCAAACTTAGCATTAAGTCATAAGCATAAATCTCTTCAATGCTTCAATTGTGGTCATTCTTTTTGGTTAGAAAAGAATTCATTTTGGTTAGAAAAAAATTTAAAGAAAAATTTTGATAAATATTACTTATGAAATCATAAAAATGTTTAAAGCCATCATTGATATAAATTTTAAGCTATTTCTAACCAAGTTCTATAACTTGTGTGCTGGTGTACATATTTCTCTATGTAGATGTATTTTATAGATAATATAAATGTATATTTATAAAGATTTAATATAATATACATATGTAAATATATAAATATAAATATAATATATACTATAAATATAGTTATAGCTTAAAAAGAGTGAATTAGTAGAGCTAGATGAAGTCTATAAGAATCAAAGATTGTCACAGAACTTTGGAAAAAGCAGGTTAGTCAAGACAAATAAATAACTATAAAATGTTCATAATGTGGGAGACAAAACATATTTTTGAAACTGTTTAAAAAGGTAATGATTACCTGAATGGTTTGGAGTTCTCATGGGCATGATTGTCTTGATGCTTCCTGAGTAGGAAAAAAAAATGCAGTTAGGAAAGACTGTCCCATTAAATCACAACACTGCTGCATACAAATATCAATTTAAAGTTCATTATCTCCAGAACTCACACTGCTATGTGGCTAAAGAATAAAAGCAAGTAACTTTTTAGAATACAGTGCATTCAAGCACTAAACCTTATATTGACATGGTGTCCAAAAATATTTCAAAGAGAAGTTATAAAAACTTCAGAGTAAACTTTTCTAAGATATAAGATTATATGAACAATTATTTCAGGTTTTTTTGACATAATTAGCCTGGTTTCAATCCGGCTTAGATAGTAAAAAGTTGAGAATAGTAGGGGTTTTTATGAACCTAGAGGCTTGAACATTTAAAAGAATACATTTCCTTTTTAGGAAATTTGCATCACAAAGCAAGCAAAGGAGTCCTCCAGATGACTGTGAGAACTGGACAACTTAGAAACCATTAGATTTTAAGTGATATTCAACTTTCATAAGCAAATGGTCAATGTAGTACCCAGAGGTTTCTGAGAACCTCCATGCTCAATTGTACTGGTTATGATGAAAGCTGAAAGATTTTTGGGGTGGGCAATGTGGCAGTGCTTACCAAAGTAAGAAAACATGCTGTTTTTTACTGTGTATCCAATAGAATTTATTATCCAGAATATTTTATTTTTATTTTTATCTTTTAAATATATTTTATTGATTTTTCACAGAGAGGAAGGGAGAGGGATAGAGAGCTAGAAACATCGATGAGAAAGCAACATTGACCAGCTGCCTCCTGCACACCCCACACTGGGGATGTATGTGTCTGCAACCAAGGTACATGCCCTTGACCGGAATCAAATCTGGGACCTTTCAGTCCACAGGCCGATGCTCTAGCCACTGAGCCAAACCGGTTTTGGCCAGAACATTTTTTTTTTTTAATTCAAAACTTTGATTCTAGTAAAAACCACCTTGACTCAATTATGCAAATAGCTTCTATCAGAAAAATCTCTTCCTTTTGAATTTCTAAGATTCCTACCTAATATGTCCTTCCATTTGATGATAAAATCAGATGATCCCCCCCAGCCATACTTCCTTCTCCTGGGCATTTAGGAAAAGCTCTGTGTGTGTCTGAGCTTGAGGTCCCAGCAGCTCTGGGGGTCCCTCTGGTCTACATGCATCTACGCTGCAGTGTCTAAATTTGCACTTCAGTAAAAGGCTTAAGAATATTACTCAGGACATGGAAAGTATTCCTATTTCACAGGAACCTTTTATATTAGATTTTAAACATATTTGAGGATATTCTCTCCCAACACCAACAAACTGTTATCCATAAAATCAGTTTTCTTCTTGGAGTTGCTCAGACATACAGAAAAAGGTTAAGTAGGAGAGAAAACGAGTAATGAATTCTTTGGGGAATTTACTGATCATATTCTTTCACCATAAAAAATGGAGATTTTTCCCCCCATTAATCTCTTGTCTACCATTGCTTTCTCTTGGAAACTGAAAAAGAAAATAATAATAACCCTCCGCCAGGTGTGTTGTGTTCACAGATGTATTACAGGGCATGACATGACTGTCTCTTCACCAAGCAGGAGCTGGGAGTGTTCAAAAGTCTCTTTACTGCTTTCCTCCACTTATGTTTAGGAAAGAAAATTCAACCTCAAAACCATAAGGCTTTCAAAGTTTAATCCAAGATTTGATAATGACATTTATCATTTTTGTGTGTGTGTGTGTGTGTGAGGTGAAACTTTTACTTAGTAATCTACCATTACCAACAATGGTATAAATCCTCAAGCTTGTATTTTATTACTTAAATGTATGAAGATGCTTTTAGACTGAGAAACTATTTCTCTGGACCTTATTTGGACCTTATTATTGTTATTATCACAAATCATCAAATATACCATTGTATAAACCTGCAGTTTTAGCTTAATTTCTCAATATGGAATTCCCTAGTACTGTAAAGACCTACAGTAAGTAAATTGGTTAGCTATAGCTACATAGATTCATTTCACTTTTCATCTCTAATTGCATGTTAAAAGTAAATTTCCAGTTTCCTCACTCATCTAATTAATACGTTTAAAAGAAAAGCATCATGAGAGCAATCCTCACATGAAAACAGCCAGCTATCATTTCGTTCTCTGTGATTTCTTTTTATGGTAACCAAACCCACGCGAAGTCATTTTTGGCACTCATCGCCAACAAAGAAGAGGTATTCCAAACATGGTTTCACATTCCCATTTAAAATTGTCCCTAATGTCTTTGAGTGCTACGGGAGGAGTAAGATGTTTTGCCAGAGGATAAGACTTTTGGGTTTTCTGTGGAAGGTGCTCCAGCCCATAGGAGTCCACCAGTCAGTAAAGACAGGAGGTATCTAGCAGGCTCAGCACATTTTTCAGAGAGGGGTAGTGATAAAAAGATACTACCCTCTGCATGGCTACTTCAGTGGTAATGGAATTAAAGGAACCGAGCAAAAGAAAAGAAAATGAGCCCAGCTGGCATGTTCCAGTGGTTGAGCATTGACCTATGAACCAGGAGGTCATGGTTCAATTCCTGGTCAGAGCACATGCCTGGGTTGCAGGCTTGATCCCCAAAGGGGGTTATGCAGGAGCAGCCAATTACTGATTCTTTCTCATCTTTGATGTTTCTATCTCTCTTTCTCCCTCTCCCTTCTTCTTTGAAATGAATAAAAGTATATTTTTTAAAAAAGAAAAGAAAATGATATACTTCATGGAAAGGTTGCCATTTTCCTAAAAGTGTGCCCTGTCCTTTGGCCCCTCTTCACAGTCCCACTCAAACATATTTGGCAAGCAGTTAAATCACTTCCTCAGACAGGCCTGAAAGGCAAGGCACAGAGCAGCCTCCTGCACAGACCCTGACAGAGGTCTCCTCAGGATAGCGGCTGGGTGGGATTGGCAGGAAGGCAGGCTCGCTCTGCACATGAATAAAGGCCCACAGTGTCCAGGCTTGTCAATCTGGGATCTTTTGCTTAGAAAAACACTATCTTAAAAAAAAAACAAAAAAAAACCCCAACTTCACCTCAGGAAATTAATCATTACTTGAGTGGAGGCAAAAGTCAAGAGAGCATTAAATAATAACATCCTAAATAATAATGGGTTAAAATGACTGGCCACAGACATCACTTCTCTCCTTCCAATATTTTAATACTGAAACATTTAAAAATAAAATAAAATGGTTATTTGGTCTTTTTTTTAATTGAGAATTTAGTGTTACCATTTTACTCGTATAAACAAACATAGGTCTTATGATAATGAGTGAACAAAATTTTAGAGGCCATTGCTGTACATTTGCTTTTCAAATACCAGAGATCAATCCCAAAATATTTTAAGAAATAGATGAGTATCTCAGAGCACCATGACACATATGAGAGGAAAAAGGTTCTACTAAAAACTGTGACCAGTGCCAGAGTCCAGCTGAATACAGACTTATTTCCACAGAAGGATTAAAAAGGGCACCTTCTTGAGAGCCAAAGTCATTACAAATGCTTCTTTTATTAGCAAAAATTCTCATAACAACCCCTGTTCTACCTAAAATGAGCAAGTCACCAATAAGAGGAAGATACTGTATATTTCATAAAAGCCTGCCAAGCAATTCAAATAACTTTTGGAGAAAAGAAAAAATATTATGATTTGACTGTGACTCGCGAATTTTCATATTTTGTCATGCATTTTTTGCAATATTTTTATATCTGCAATTTATTTTTCTAGTGAAATATTTTCCCATTATAAAGCAAAAGTAATTAGGGGTTACCACTAAGTTGAATTTGACATGAAAATAAACTTTGCCAGAAAGGAATTCTCCTACATGAGGCTATCTCATTCAAAAACTATAATTAAACTAGTCTCTCATGAAAAACAAAATTAAGTCAAACCAAATATTCATAACACTTTTCTCTCTAAATAGCATATACTTTGCTCCCCCAGATTTGATGACAAAGTATGTTTATAGATAGGTGCATCATAGCTTTTCAGGTTAAATGTAAAAACAATAGACTAAAAGAATAAATTTTAGTTATTAACCTGTTATTCTCATATCACCAAACTGCACCACAAATGTCTGCCTTCCACGGTGCCAACTCTCCCACAGCAACTCATGCACCACTTCTGGGAATCTAAAAGATGAACAAGAAGGTTTAAACAATGATGACACTGTAGTGAACTTAATAGGCATGCTTATTCTTTACTCACAGAAACTGCCTTCCCTGAAGAAGGGGGCAGGGGAGGGAATTGAACTGGATCTCTCAAGAAGACTCCCCCCCCCCCCCAAAGGAAAGCAAAAAACAAAAAAAACTCCTGTCTTTTAATATAGTTTAAATCTTTGGAATTAGAACTTATATTAAAAGAAAAGTTACAGTAACAGCAAAAGTGGAGGCTGTTAAGAAAATAAGGCTAGAGTTAAAAGTTTAACATAGAAATTATGCCACCGGAGTCCAGAATACAATTCTGCACTATAGCTGAGATTCTCACAAAACTAAACTCCATAGGATGAAGTCTCAGGACCTCGTAGCGAATTCTTTTCTATAGTTTACATCAGCAATGTTATGTTCTGTGCTGAAATTACTTTCTAAAATAGGAAGCCAAAACCAACCAAAGTAAAATCCTGACACTTAACAAACCCTGGTAAGTAGCAAAGAAAGGTACTTTCTTATCCTGAGAATCAATATTTATCCAAGTCTGATCCAAAGAGAGGCATGGAAGGTCACTGATACTATTTAATCCAAACGGATTCATCAGTTAAGCCTCTTAAAATGGTTTAGCACCAAGTATAAAAGGCCCATATAAAATGTTTTAAACTCCCCTAGATGGTTATTGTATATGTGCTCATTAAAAAAAAAAATAATTATATATATATTATTGATTTCAGAGAAGAAGGGAGATGGAGAGAGAGAGAAACATCAATGATGAGAGAGAATCTTTGATGTCTGCCTCTTGCACATCCTCACTGGGGATCAAGCCTACAACCTGGGCATATGCCCCAACCAGGAATGTTTGAATGGTGACCTCCTGGTTCATAGGTCAATGCTCAACCACTGAGCCATGCTGGCTGGGCTTTTCTCATATTTTTAAAAAATTGCTCTTTCTACCAGAAAAGCAATGGTCTCATAGGCAGGACTATAGTATCAATACATGACAACTAAGATAAGCCTTAATCTAGTACCAGTGCCTGAGAACATTCAAAGTGCTTAAAGGAAGAAGCTTGCTTAATTGTCCCCCTCCGCTCTGCTCATCACTGCAGTAGCACTTTGGGACACCCTGTGCACACTGAGACCTGAATCATTATAAGCAAGCAGGCCCACTCAGTTCCTCAAAAGACACAAAAGGTGCGAAAATAGCTTCTGCAATTGAGGCAAGAACCACATCAGCAACCAGATGAATGTGGGTGGTCAGATAAGATTGTGTTGCTGCAAAGGGCAAATTATTAAGCGAATGCTAGATTTATTTTCTTTCTTACACTTTGTTCTTCTTGCCTCAAATCAACCATTTGCTGGCACTTAAAATGACACTTGACAAGCTCTACTATTTGCAAAAGTGAAAGCTTCATCGAACCAAAGAGCACGTTTGATTAAACACCAAGGGAATGGTGGCAGTGTCCTAAAAAAAGAAAGGACATATATGTTCTATAAGATAATAAATAATTAACTATAGGTGCCGAGACCGGTTTGGCTCAATGGATAGAGCGTCGGCTTGGGGACTGAAGGGACCCGGGTTCGATTCCGGTCAAGGGCATTACCTTGGCTGCGGGCATATCCCCAGTAGGGGGTGTGCAAGAGGCAGCTGATCGATGACTCTCTCTCATAGATGTTTCTATCTCTCTATCTCTCTCCCTTCCTCTCTGTACAAAATCAATAAAATATATTTTAAAAAAATAATTAACTATAGGTATATTTTTAACAAACCAAATGGCACCCCTTTTTTGAAGAAAAAGAAATCAAGTTTTAATACTTAAAAAACACACACCACAATTACACCTCGGCAATATGACTCTAAGCTAAAGTAAAGCATGGCATCCTTCAGAAAACAAATAAATCACCAAGCTACTTTACATTCCGAGCAAAATTCACCAAGACAAAAATGGGCCAAGATTCTATAAATATTGCTCTATATTGGGAACCATAACTTGCACTATTGAGTCACTACCTATGATTGGCAATCCTACAGTCACTGAACTAAGAGGTAAGAAGGGAAAAGGAGAACATAATTCACAGGAAGCTAGCCCACAACTGGTAACTGTGGAGCAACTATAGACAGGCTCCCAACCATTCCCTAACCCAGAAATCATCATTCCTACTAACAACCTCCACAGGCAAAGCAGAGTAGGTGAGAGCCCCCAAGACAAGTGGTGACAGCGGGATGTTTCCAGTTCTGACTGCTTTTCGACCCCTACTTTCCAGGGCTCTGGTTATTGGCCACAGAAAACACTTGCCTCAAGACATGCATATGCATCTGGAATTTTATTTTATTTATTTTTTATATTTTTTTTATCCTCACCAGAAGATTTTTTTCCATTGATTTTTGATTTTAGAGAATGTGAAAGGGAGAGGGAGAGGGAGGAGAGAGAGAGAAAAAGAGGGAAGAAGGAGGGAGGGAGGGAGGGAGGGAGGGAGGGAGGGAGGGAGGGAGAGAGAGAGAGAGAGAGAGAGAGAGAGAGAGAGAGAGAGAGAGAGAGAGAGAGAGAGAAATGTAGATGTGAGAGAGACACATCAAGCGGTTGCTTCCAGAAAGCAGCCTGACTGGGGGCCAGAAACAAGTCCACAAACCAAGTACTTGCCCTTAAGGGGAATCAAACCCTCGACCCTTCCAGGTGCTGGCTGATGCTTTAACCACTGAGAAACACTGGCAAAGACTATTTCTGGAATTTTATATTACAAAAAATCCTTTTCACTCAAAAGAGGATCCAGAATCTGTTTCTGTCATATGACTTACAACTCATGACTTTGTCAATATCTAATTTGCCCTTAATGAACTTAAAAATCCGTGATAATGATGCACTTATATTTTACCTCACAGAAACTTCTAGGCAATTAGTGTGATTTTAAAGCAAAGATTTAGACAATATTAACATGAGAGATATGACACCAATTTCTGAGATTTTACACAAATCATTTTGTTGCAAATTGGAATCAGTAATGGCCTCTCCGAGGGGGATAATTATTGGTACTATTATAATAAAGACATGGTGATAACTATCTTAGAAAAGTAATTATGCATCAGTTTTAGATGAGTTTTTGTGCCTTAGTTTGTTCAACAAAATAAAAGAAAAATATTTTCCCCAATAGCTCCTGAGAATGTGGTATGACAACTCATGCTTCTGTTCCATGGAAAACAACAGTTCACACTGTACACTATTAAACAATGGAACAAAAGAAAGAGATTTTCATTACTTTAATTTTACTTCTAGCTTACTAGATTTAAAAAAATCACCATGCAATGAAGATTTAATATTCAATAAAACTAATAAGTTTTCAGAAAATAATGTTAACAAATCTTGTTAAATATCCCCAGTCATTTAAATTCCATTCCTCAGTGTGAGGTGAAAATTACCTTTTAATTTAATAACAATATACAGACTGAGTCTTATGTTACCTGTAGGTTTGTAGAAGAGTTCCTTAAAAATAGTTTCCAATCCTCTATTTTCTATTTATAACAAACACTTAAAAAGTTTGAGTATTATTGTTTCTTTCTCAGTAGCCTCTCAGCCTTTAGAGGCTAAATTCTTGGCATTAGATATTTATTCTTAGATGCTTACAGGTTATTATCACTAAATCACTAAGTTAAGCAAGGGTCAGAGGTCATATTGAGCTATGATTAGAAATAATAGATGGATAGATGATAGGCAGGCAGAGAGGGATTTTTAAACTATCCATTGTTGGCAGGATGCTTTATTATTTTAAGTCTTTATTATTTCAAATTATTTTAAAACAAGTTATGGCTTAATAATTTAATATGACTTTTTGATGAATCTTGCAAGATATTGAAGTCTCATTAGCAAACTTCTCATGCAAATATAAGTATCTTCCATCATTCTTGTTTTTTTCCTGAAGTTAAAAGAATACACATTAGATCGTAATTTTAATAGAAGAGCTGATAAGATAAGCCAGTTATACGTTAGATGAGAGTTGTCACAATTAAAAATAATTATTATTTGCATAACTCTATGAAAAATGGCATAGGATCTCGAAACAAGATGTGACCAACATGTTTCTTGGTTAAAAGGAGTGTTTAAGTATTGTATTACATATAAAGGAATGAATGCTACTCTTCATACATTAGAGAAGAACTATTTTTAGAATATAGTAAAAGAGATTTAAAAGTAGTAGGTAAAGGTAAGTCCTGAAAAATAAATAAATGCACAAGATACACTTTATTAATCCCACCAGAAAAAGAAAAAAGGTTCTAAACTGGCCCATTGATCCACTTTGCAGTGTCTGGAATGGTAAGGTAAGAGACACTTGGTAGGTGGCTCAACCTCTGAGCCACATCCGCCAGGCCTACTTCCTTTTATTTGAAGCTTAGTAACCTGGCCTTATTGTAGGCACTAATTGAGTAAAGAAATGAAAAATGAATAATAAATGATATTGAACTTAAGATAAGCAAGGCATTTATCATCCAATCTTTAAAGCTAATCGAAGAGAATAACAGTAGCTAAAACCTGTGCTCCATTGAACTATTTATCCACTTTTATAGAAAATAAAATGAAAATTTTAACAAAATTAAATTTTTAATTTTTCCAAAATGAATACATGGTAGCAAAATTAGCTGTCAAAGCAATCATTTTCTACAAGCAATAAATTATTTAGTATCCAAAACAAAACTAATTCATTCTCAACCATTTTTTTTAGCATAAGCTATTTTTCATTATCAAGCTTTTTTTTATGTTCAAATAATTAAAAACTTTTTAAAGTACATATTTTAAGTCAAGTCATGAGATCATGTCCAAAGCAAGGGCAGTTCTTTCATTGATAGTCAATACAAGCAAACACTTTGGATCATAATATCCAGAATTCACCATGGAGGTGAGCACCTAGTCACCCCATCTCCACACGCACTAGTTCTGCAGAATGATGTAAGCTGTCTTGTTTTTGCAAAAAGTCAAGGCCAATTAGATGTTTCAAATAATTAAAAATCTTTTTTTCTCTCATTTGTGACATATCTTTATTTTTACATTCCCATTTTTATTTTTCTTACCCTTCCTTTCTCTTCCCTCTGCTTTATCCCTTAATATTATGGCAGGTAAATAACTACTTCTTGCCAAGCTATCCTAAATATTTACTTGCTAACTAAATATTTGAAGAAGACAAAAGGAGCAATATTTGACCACTATTCTAATAAGAAATATGCCATAACTAAGTTCTGACTCCAAAGTATTGCTTTCTCATGTTTTATCTTTTAAGTGCTTATGTTTATATGTTTACTATTTTGGTTGCTCCGGGATATGTAAACAAGGTCATGATTCTTTTTCCAATTTTTTTTTTTTTACTCCTGGATATGCCAAATTAGCATAAAGAAAGGCAAAAGTTAACTTTGGATTATGTAAACAAAGAAAATAGAGAAATCAAATAATCAACTATTATTATATTCATAGGAATACACAAAGCAGGCTGACCTTGTCTGAAGAAAAATCCATCTCTTAGAAAAGAGCAGCCTCCCACATCCATGTAAATAATACAAAAAGCAATAAAAGCACAGCTGAAAACTTGGACTGCATTCCATACTTCATGCTACAAGTGATTCTCAGATGTGATGAAAAAGAACTGTCCTCAGTTTTCCTACAATAGGCCTACACACAATAAATATCCTTCAAAAAGAAATCAATGTGAGGCCAATGACAAATAATCTAACCAGATAGGCATAACCACCTGTAATAATTGAGCTTCTGAAATCATCAATTCTAACTCCTCTCTTAAAATTTTTGACAGTCAGGAAACTGACCAGTATGCCTGCCAGTGAAGAGGCATACAACATCAGTAAACCAAAAAGAAAATCTTGATTCAACACTGGCCCAGGACGGGTTCAGCACAAAGAATAAATGACAGGGTACTATCCCTCCAGACTTTAGAAATGGACCTAAAGTTAGCACACAGCAAATAACATGAACAACAGTTATTGTCAGAGTTCTAGAAAACCTATGACCAAGCAGGGCTTGAACAACCAGGAAAGAACCAATAGGTAGTTCAAATGGAAGCCATGCTTTACCCAAATGAAATAACCAGAAAAGCTGTATAATAACCTGTGCTTCCTGGTTATTCAGGGACTCCCCTGGCATACTGATAAATTCTGAATGACATTCATATTTTTAGACTCATCTTGGAATATATCATGGCCTATGAAGTTTAAGGATAGAAAAATACTCATTTCAAGCAGGTATTTATAAGGTTCCACTGGAAAAATACTCATTTCAAGCAGGTATTTATAAGGTCCCATGCGTCCATATTTGGGGAGACAAAGGGGATAAATGAGAGAGACCCTCTGCATTTGGTACTCATGCTTTGGAAACCAACTCCCCTGAGTCACCATATTAGTACATCTGCATATAAAGGGTTTTTCCTAAATCTTCTGAGTCCCTGATATATGTTTTCTGGTCACCTGATAAATTCTGCAACATAATAAAATATACAAATTTACCTCTGTTGTTTTTAAATAAAACTCTGAAGATAATGAACTATAAACCATTATAAACAGTACATTGAAGACAATTTAAAAAATCTTTATATCCAGTATAAAGGTTATTTGAAAGCACAGCTACAGAGCTTTCCTTTTTACTGTAAATATAAACAGTGAAGTACACTAATTTTAGAAATGTTACTTAGTCTTCAAAGATCAAACTCTTAGTTAATATCTAAAATATAGATTCCTTACCTTATTGAATTAATTACTTATATTCATCACATATGGACTATATTGAAAGTTAAAAAGCCAATTGAATGTCCTATAGGACATAAGACAATGGCTGGCAGAGTAGAAAGTCAACAAATATTTGTCAGCTGAGTGATTGAATGAATAACATAAATGTGAATAAATGAACTAATGAATGAATGTGATTATACCATGTGTATATGTCCAGCACCTGGGAAAACACCTTTTTGGCTTAATGACTGAAAAAGATCATCATATATCTTGGATCATAGTGCTTGGAAAGGATCTAGTCAAGTCCAACACCATATCCAACAGTCAAGGATCCTGAAACTCATAGGGTGTAAGTGACTCATGTAAGTGGACTTTGGGAAACTTGAGCAAACCTAATCAAAAAAGGATTCATTTAAAAATTTCTGGGACATTTTCAGCTACCAAACACAAAAGGAAACTTTTTTATATTTTTTTAATACTATACATTTATGTAGGGAAAAAGCCAGAACTGTGTATTTTTTGTAACCAAATATAGTACGTTTAAACATCCAACCACTTTACCCTTCATTAAGAACCTCAATTCAGCACAGTAATTAAATTAATTGATTAAGAGTTAGGCTTACATATCTTTACCCAAAATGTGAACAATAAGCTATTAATTTAACTTGGACTCTCCAATTTCTCACACTTTCTATCCTGTCTCCTTATTGATTGGAGTGGTCATTTTAATTGCTAAAGACCAGTGACGTGTGATACTGAGTCTCTGTGCTTTACTTATTCCAAACATAGAAATGTGAAGATAATGGAAAACCAGAGGAAATGAAAGATGACTTCTGGATTAGAACTTAAAGCATCAGGGCAATGCTTCAGCCACAAACTTCTGCCTCTGCTCTTAGCAATGGTGAAGACAAGTAGGACAATGGTGACATCAATGGCTCACAAGATATAAAAAGCCATCCCTTGGGTTTGCTCATGAATATTCCTACCTTTTGCAGTCTTAGAGCACATTTACCTCACTATCAAGATCTTGGCCTACTTGCTAACTTGAAGGGCAGAATGGGGTGGTATTTAAAGCACCTACGTTCAAATAAATCAAGAATCAAGCATTTACATGACCATGAACTCTCAGTATAAAGAAAGTAACAAAATCAAATATCATTCAATTGTGAGATTTCAATAAAACACATTAAATTTCAAAGAACCCAAAACACTTAGCCAAAAGTAACTGGTACATGGCAATTGTTCAAGTGTTATTGTGACTGTTATTATTATGAGTTATAACTGCCCTCAAAGACTTAGCCTGGGCCTTGGTCATTACAATTTCAGATAATACCAGGATATAGAGCCAACTTAGAGTCTAGTCTGAGGCAACTGTACAGGATGACAATAGCTCACTCAAGCCTGGCTTAGAACAAACTTAAGCCCTTGTATCTAGGTTGAGAGTCTCATGTATACTCCAGGCACCAGAACGAGGAAGGAGTGCCTGGTTGAATTCCTCTACCTGAAATTTTCTCACAATTGATATGGGTTGAATGTTTTTGTTCTTCCAAAATTCAGATATGATGCCCTAGCCCCCAATATGGCTATATTTGGATGGGGCTTCTAAGGAAGTAACTAAGGTTTAATGAAGTCACAAGGGTAGTGTCCTGATCGCACAGGTTTTTTATAAGTAGAGACCTCAGAGAGCTCTTGCTCATTTTCTCCCTCCACATAAACATGAGGAAGAGGCTGTGTGAGCACACAGTAAGGTGGTGGCTGCAGAAAAGCCAAGTTAGGTTTCAGAATGGGACTAAAAGAAATACTTTTCTGCTAAACCACCAAGTCTGAGGCTCCTTTTTTTTTTTTTATGGTAGGCTGTGAAGACTAATATAATAATTTAACGCAATTTTGCAAAGTACATAAAATTGTTAGAATGAGGGAGAAAAGAGATAAAGAAAAGAATATTGGATTTTGAGTCAGGAAATCCATACTCTTGTATTGGTTCTAATACCTTGTAGCTGTATAATCTTCGACAATTTATTTAATATTTTTTACCCTTTTTTCTTCACTCAGAAATCAAAACAGTAATTTCTCCCAATCATGGTCATCGTAACTAGGATTCCTGTCATAGTAGGTACTCAATAAACTGTTCTTTTTTTTCTTTTTTTCTTTTTAAAGATAATGAGATAAAGGGGGACTCCTGTGGGGAAGAGAATATAATAATTAAAGGTATTTTATCTCATAATTCTATATTACTACATAAAGGAAGACATTGTAATAGTTATGCTGTGCTAAATTCTATCAACACTTAAATATTATTTGATGGCCTGAATATTCATTTTTTATGGTGTCATTAGCGACCAAGGTGATTTTCCCCCCAGTGTTTTAGTGAGTAATTTATCAAAGGAAAATTATTCTATACCATGTTCACTCTACCCCACCCAATTCAATGGTTATTAAAATATGCATTGATTGCTACTATGGACAAAGTGATATATCAATTCTAATTTATTTAACATCAAAAAGGAGCTGTGTGGTATACAATTTTAATTGTCTATTTAAAATTAATTCCCACGGGAGAACTTTATCTGATGTGTCTATACAAGAATAATTTTATTCTAGCCCTAGCTGGTTTGGCTCAGTGGCTATAGAGCGTTGACCTGCAGACTGAAGGGTCCCATGTTCGATTCTGATCAAGAGCACATCCTGAATTGTGGGCTCGATCCCCAGTGTGGAGTGTGCAGGAGATAGCAGAGCAATGATTCTCTCTCATTATTGATGTTTCTATCTTTCTCTACCTCTCTGAAATCAATAAAAATATATTAAAAAGAGGAATAATTTTATTCTTACTGAAAACTGGCTTTACAGATCCTACATTTTAAGCCTATTAAGTGTCCCCATTTAGGTTAGCTGCTGGTAAGCTAAGGTCTTTATTTGGAAACAACTTCTAGGAAGTACCTAAGCCTTCTTGGCACATATTTTGATCACTAACATCATTTCTAGTTTCAAGTACTATTCCTACTTTTGGTTCCCATTTACTAATATGTATACATATATACTTCAAGAATGGGGACTGATACAAAAGAACACAATAAATGTAGCTGGAAACTGTTTAGAAAATTGAACATATATGTACATTTCAATAGTGTTTGGGCAGCACAACTGTAAAAACTAATTGGTTCCGGTATATAAAAGGAATGTGAAAACCCCCCAAATATTCATCTTTTCTTTCAGTCTTCAACTGTTTTGATTCCAAGGAAAGGGAAGATTTCATAAATATAACAGAAAAGGTACATATAATACAACTCAAGAGAAACTATTTTCCTTCTCTAAGGAATTGCATATGAATAATATGGAAATAATATGGTCAGATTATATTATCTTTGAGACACGGTCAAATTTTCAGTTACTGTCAAAGCTCAGCAGCACACATGGTAAATACGTCTGACATATTCTTGGACACAGATAACTTATACTGGCAGATCCTACACACAAACCCAGTACAGTGTACTGAAGGGTTTGGATGAATACTTTTTTATTTGTTGAGCATCCATAGGGTAAAAAATCAGATTTGGACACATGTACTTTAACAAGTTTATAATCCATGTCAAGACTTAAACCAACCTCTACTTTTTAAAAAATATATTTTATTGATTTTTTACAGAGAGGAAAGGAGAGAGAGAGAAAGAGAGAGAGAGAGAGAGAGAGAGAGAGAGAGAGAGAGAGAGAGAGAGAGAGAGAGAGAGTTAGAAACATCAATAAGAGAGAAACATTGATCAGCTGCCTCCTGCACACCCCCCACTGGGGATGTGCCTGCAACCAAGGCACGTGCCCTTGATTAGAATTAAACCCGGAACCCTTCAGTCCTCAGGCCAATGCTCTATCCACTGAGCCAAACAGGTTTCAGCCAAGATAGTTCACTTAATATGGGGGTAGGAGAGTCATTAATGCCCTTAAAAACCCTTAAATATTCACACTTGCTTGGTGATACCCAGTCCATAAAAACGAAAGCACTTTAACCTTAAAGACACATGACAGGTTCACTCTTAATGTTTTTCTACATTTATTTATTTATTTATTTATTTTAAATATATTTTATTGATTTTTTACAGAGAGGAAGGGAGAGAGATAGAGAGTTAGAAACATCGATGAGAGAGAGTCATCGATCAGCTGCCTCTTGCACACCCCCTACTGGGGATATGCCTGCAACCAAGGTACATGCCCTTGACCGGAATCGAACCCGGGACCCTTCAGTCCCCAAGCCAACGCTCTATCCATTGAGCCAAATCAGTTTTGGCTGTTTTTCTACATTTTAACCACAGCCCTTTGGACAATTACAGTCCCTTCTCATCGCAATTAACATTAAAATCCATATTTCAGAAACTGGAGATAAGTGCATAGGGGGAAAGAAACAGTATAATATATGAGCCTGTGGAAACCTTGCTTCCTTACCTGCTACCATGACTTGTTGATAAAACAGATCTTCCTTTCTTTTTTCTTTGTGGAGAAAAAGGAACAGAGGCTGGAGTTCCTTACAAAGGCAAGAGAAAGGAAACAATTTAGATATGGTCCTCAGAACCAAAAAATATAAGCACATCACAAGGAAACTATCAATGAAGGGTTTTCATATTGTCAGCTAATTTTCTCTGGCAGAAACATCTTAAAGAAAATGTTAAGTGACTATATTGCTATTTGGTTTCCTTTCTGTGATATAAAAAGAGTGTAAAATAGTAATACTTAAAAGTTCTGAGTTGTAATTTTTTATGTTTAGGAATTAATTAAATCATCTGCACAAATATACCCAAATTGATTTAAAATATTTAATTCTAAGTTGCTTCACAACCTACTTGAAATAAGGAAAATACTTGTCAATAGTAAGTAAATAAAATATTCTTTTCAAAGAATCAGTTTTTAGGATTTTAAGGTAAAATAGGCATAAATCATTCAGAAAGTAAATGGAGATGATGTCATTCAAAATTATAAACAAAGGTTGTTCTTGAATTACAGGTTTCCCATGTGTACATAAGTGCTTGGGGTGGCCAAACAATATGTACACATATATCTGGAAAATTTTTCCCTTTGCTTCTAATGTAGTGATTTTATGTAAAAAAAGATTATCCTATGTAATAAAAGACTAATATGCAAATCGACTGAATAGCAGAATAACTGGTTGCTATGATATGCACTGACCATCAGGGGGCAGATGCTCAAGACAGGTGCTGCTCCCTAGTAGTCAGTGCACTCCCACAGGGGGAGCACTGTTTATCCAGAAGCTGGGCTCATGGCTGGCAAGTGCAGCACCTGGGGAGCAGGCCTAAGCCATCAGTCAGTCATCCCCCACAGGGTCCCCGACTGTAAGAGGGTGCAGACCAGGCTGAGGGACCCCCTCCCCAGACTGCACAAATTTCATGCACCGGGCCTCTAGTTATCAATAATTGCAATGAGCTTCTTGGTAACAATAGGTAATGTCTGTCAACCATGAAGGAAGAGTGTCTTCCTCTGGAAGAGCCACAAAAGACTCTCTCTTCCTTTGCTTTGTGTGATGAGGAGAGGAAGACAGGAATCTTTTGTCACTACTACTACCATGAAAGGAGCCCGCTTAGTTACAAATCTGATACACAGAAGGGACAGAGCCAAAAGAATCCCCACAAAAACAAACAAACAAAAAACCCAACAGATCCTGAAGGCTTCTCAGTCTCTGGATCAAGCTGAGCCTAAAAGCAACTATCTCTGGACTGCGAGGAGCATGAGCCAATCATGTTTGCTTTTGCTTTAGAGAGCTGAGTTAGGTTCTCTGTTCCCCCTATCAGAGACATCATACAAATGCTATGGTTAAGTGGCATTGGTTGGTGTTTCTCACTTCTAAGATCTACTGACAAGCCCATGAAGAAGCAGGCAGTCAAGAAACAGGAAGGTTGAATAGTCTTTCACCTGGGTGGCAATTTTACACCTAACTCACTCTGTCCAAACAATAAGTAATTCTGCTCCTCAGTGCTCAGGGTCAAGGATGACCCCAGGAAGACAGGGGAAGTGCGTGTACTCTGAACTTAAGCTGGAACTGGATCTCAATTCTCAGAGCCTTGATCCAATTACTGATATTTTTAACATCTGTTTACTGATCACAAAATGTTCAAATTTGTTGTATCAAATGAAATGCCACGTGTAAACAGTTCAGAATAATATCTGGATCAAATAAATACAAAGTATTAGAATTCTTTTTAAAATACTAGCAGAGTTAAATAATTTCCAGCAGCTGTAAATAAAGGAAAACATTATATTTATAAAAGTAGGTAGGTACTTGACTTTTATTATTTGAGTTATAAGAATAACAGACATATCAAATGAAAATGGTTGTTTGATTTTGCACGTATTCCAAGACATGTGAATATGTGTGTGTATGTCTGTAGATTTTGTCTCAGTGCAGGTATCACTTAAAGCACAAAAATATTAAAAAGACAAACTTTTTTCATTGTATTTCATAACATAAAAATTATTAAATGTAATATAAATATCATAATTATTTCACATATTATAGATATTATATATGTAACATGTGCATTGCACACACACACACACACACACACACACACACACACACACACATAAACGCACAATGACAGAATGACACACCATGAAATGTAACTCCTTTCTCAGCTTATCAGCAGGAAAGCCATTCAGGCCTCCAGTGCAGCCCAGTGTCCCTAATAGACAGATGAGAATATGAATTTTGCCAACCTCAGGGAGCCATCCCCCTGTGAGGTGCTATAATACTAAGAAAGGGGGGAGAGGGACCATCAGGCATCATTGTGGGGAAGTTGGATATTCATACTGTAATTTGATCCTTCTGATCCTACAGAAGAATGATTACATATTAGTGAATTTCTGGTCCTTAGCTGGTAGCTTCAAGATCAACAAATTATTTGAAATATTAACATTTTCTAAAAGTGTTCCCCACCCCTAAACATTGTAAAACTTTCAAACATCAGAGTTCTGTCAACTAATTGCTATAATGCATCCTGAAACTGAAATTAAAGTTCAAGGTGGTAAAGTAGCAAATTAGTGACATCAGAAAGCAATGAAGCCTCTGGGCTGAGATCTAATTAGTGGGCGAAATGGCCCTTTGGCAAGCTAGCAAGGAGCTATACATCAATACCAACTCCTTTCCCGGCACCATTGACTAGCTTGAACTTTACCTTACTTCCTGGTTCACGAAAATCCAGACAGCACTTAATGCCAATGAGTAACAGATTCTCTTCAACTGCAGGTCACGTTACTAAAATCTGTCACCACTTGTCTTTATCCCCACCCTGTAGAATGTTAAAAACCTTATTGTTGCCCAAGAAGTTTCCCGGAAATTGGATTAAGTAAGAAGCAAATATTTTCCCATTATTTCAGATGAGTGTCTGGGCTACAGCACAGCTGGGTGGCATTAAAAAACTCTAAGTGGCTTAAGATCTGAGGCATTAAACCCAGGACACAGAGCATCACCACATTCAGCTGAAGTGTGACTCTATTGCTGCAATTTTTAGATACTCATCAACATTCAATTAACATCCATGTCTCTATTACTGCGATTTTTAGATACTCATCAACATTCAATTAGCATCCATGATATAATATTAGTCACTATTGACGCTTATTAACACCTCTGCCTCTGCTGTGCGAAGCGCAGAATTCAGGCTTAACAAGGTGGGACGCAAACTGCCAGGTGGCATCTTCACGTGATTTCTGTTTCCCTATTAGACATTTGACTCCTTTCCAAGTGAATCACCTCAAGTTTTTGAGTGTTTGTCCTTCATTTTTATAAAAGCCCAGTATGCTTAGAGACAAGAAAGAGCATACTAAATAAATGTATGTATGAAAATCGATAAAGGAACGCCTTTTCTACTTACAGGGTATCTATTAGATGAGAAAAGATTTAAAATTTGTTGAGATTAACTGTTTAAGCCAGATGATAGAATCTTATAAATCACTTTCTTTTAATATTCTGAGGGATGATAAGCGAAGCCAATGGAAAAATTTGGGAGATTTAGAAGGAGGAATTCCTCTCAAATGCTGGGAAAGTATTAATGTCTGTGGAAACAATTTAAAGAACAGGCTATCTTTAGTTTGGCTCAGTGGCTAGAGTGTCAGCCTGTGGACTGAAGTGTCCCGAGTTCGATTCCAGTCAAAGGCATGTACCTTGGTTGCGGGCACATCCCCAGTGGGGGGTGTACAAGAGGCAGCTGATGGATGACTCTCTCTCATTGATGTTTCTAACTCTCTTCTCTCTCCCTTCCTCACTGGGAAAAATCAATAAAATATATATTTTTTTTAAAAATAAAGAACAGGCTATCTTTCCCAAAGTTGGGAACAGTGTTCTGATATTGTTTCTTGCTGGACTTACTACAGGCACTTCAAATGGCCCAGGAATTGTGACCTGTATCAGACAACAGCTTAGAGGCATCATAAGTTGATCCTTCACTGCTTCTTGATGTTAAGGGGTATATAATGGCATTTCTTGACTAAACCCGACGCCATAATGGTCACTATGCATGGAGAACATCAAGCACTGAGTCTGTAGGGGGGTGAATGGCCACAGTGGCTCAGCTTCTGATGCTGCCTGCAGATTGGAAGGGAGAGTCTTCCCCAGCCTCACCATATAAGAGATTAAGCCAGTGGTCAATATAAAGAAAAGAAACGCCCTTGGGAACAAGGGCTCCAGAGAGGCACAGCTACAGGTTAGGGGTACTATGGCAACAGGAAAAGACTGCCAGAATCAAGCAAATGCCAGTGCACTTTAAAATACTTTATTTCACTGAATTCTCAAGAAAACAATGAAACATAATATTTTTTACAGTAGAGAAGGTTAGATAAGACCAAAAGTTACAATGATAATAAATGCCATGGACAGGATTCTATGCTAATTCTCTACCTAGAAACTCCAATATTTCCACTGTTTTATGACACTTTTCAATCAGCACAAGAATTTGGCCCTCCTGCTTTTGTATGGGTACACAAAATTACACTTACTAGAGGCCTGGTGCACAAAATTTGTGCATGGGTAGGGTCCCTAAGCCTGGCCAGCAATCAGGGCCTATTAGGACATCAGGCTGCTGTTGGGGGCCTTCCTTCATTCCATCCCGCCCCCTGGTGGTCAGCACACATCATAGGGAGTGATCAAACTTCCAGTCTCCCAGTCGAACTCCCAAGGGGGACACTTTGATATTAACCTTTTATGTATAGAAATATGTGTAATATGGTGTATATATATATATATATATATATATATATATATATTATGATATATTAAAATAAAAATCTCTACATTATTGGAAAATGAATGTTAAACCCAGGGCCCTTCTCAATTAACATTCTGGCTTCACCAAATCCAATGAGGATTCAAGGCCACGATGATTATCTGCCTCTAGCTGGCAAAAGGGGTGAAAATATAGAGCGTCACCCAAGGGAAGGTGTTATTAGTCAGGCACTAATATTGCACTAGCACTCCCACCCACATTACATTCACCAGAACTTAGCCACATGGCTCAT